GCGAGCCGCGAGCGCCGACAAGGCTCTCGATGCTTTTCATAATCTCAATTTTCATCGGCAGTACGACGGCCGCGGCGTCGGACGCGTTTACGTATTCAATTACCCTCCTCCACCGAGGCCGTGCCCCACCCCACCCCGCCCCCGCCGAGTTTCGATGTCGCTTCGGGAAGCGCCGCGGGCGTGCAAGGGTCGCGCCAGACGCTTTGGCAGCGCGGCAACGCGGTGTATCCGGAATTAGTTCTCCGGACGACAAGCCCTCCGCGAGAGCGGAGAGCGCGCTCTGCTGGAAAGAAGTCGCGAAGGCCGGAGACGAGGCCCCAGCACTGCCCCAGCGTCCCAGCGCCCCAGCGCCCCTCCGGCGTCTTGCTTCGCACCCCTTGCCCCTCCCCGCAGAGTCACGGCCCTCTAATTACAGGCAGAAAGGGCTCTTTCTAGCGCCGCCCCGCCGGGGGTGAGCGCTCCACGGCACCACGGCGCGCACCGCAGCGGCCGCGGTTATCCCTCTCGGGAGAGAAGGGAGCGGAGGGAGGGACGGAGGATCGCCGTCCTGCGGTGTGACTTTTGGGCGGAGGGACAAAGTTGATTCTGACGACGACAACCTCGCCGGCTCGCACGCGGGCGGGGAGGGGAGCGGCTCGGGAGCGACGGACACGCTTACGCATGACCCTAGAGGCCCCCGCCACGCCCCGCCACACCCCGCCACGCCCCGCCACGCCCCGCCCCTCCCTGGCCGCGCCCGGCCGCGCCGCGGTGGTCGAGTCATGTGCTGGACAAGACAGCAAGCACGCACTTCATGTCGGCGCGCCCACACACTCGCTCACTCACACACACGCAACCCGTCTGCACGCTGCTAACATGTACAGTAGTAGTCCCTGCCCCCGCAGCGCCTGCCGCGGCTGCCCCTTCCCCCTGTCCCTCCATTGTGTGCGACGAATTTTTACCTCGGAGCCAGACGCCGTAGGGAATGCAGCGGCGGCGGGCGCCTCGGGTGTTCGGTTGGCTGAAGTTGTCTACTCTGTCGGCAAGGTCGCAGGATGCTCTCGCCAGGACACAGGTCGCATGAAGAGAGGGGCAGGGCGAAGCACACCTTTCTCAATGCATCAAGATTTGGACCAAGAGGACGCCGTTGATCCCCGAGATAAGGGGACGAAGCAGGGGGGCACCGGAACCGGTTGTGCTTGCAGGGGCTGTTCCGGGGTGGAGGCCTGCATAACCCCCTCGGGGGGGATGTACTCCTTCACCCTGACTGGCCATACTGCGAGTGGGAGTCGTAGCCGTTGGTGGTTCTTCTCCGCCGGGATAAAGTGTCACCTTAGTAAGGACGGCCATGTCTCGTTTTGCAGTGCAGGCGAGCATGTGTCGGGCCCGAAATGGCATACGATCATGTGTGGTCTAGCCCTTAATGGTAATGGTAATGGGAGGTAGGCAGGCCCGCCGCTCTCGTGTGTTCGGCGGGACGGCCTGGCAGCACGGCGTCAGGGTAGGCAACCCGCTCCACTGACAAGTGTGACGGGACAGCCTGCCAGCACGGCGCTCGGTCAGCCAAGCCAACCCGTCGTTTCTTCCAATCGAGCGACGCCGATCAAAGTCTGGGGCGCGCATGTCGTTGGCGGCTTTGTTGTCGAGGAGTTCGAGGACCTGCCCGAGTGCCGACGAGGACACGGCCCCGGCGGCGCGCGGTGACAGTGACGGCAGGACTGTCGGCAGGGTGCGCGCCGGGGTCCTTTTCATTTTCTGGAAAGTATTTTCTCGGCGCCGCCCCGCTGCTGGCGCTGCTCGTGCTGCTGGCCATGCCGCCCTGCCAGTGGCGCCGCGGGAGGCGGGCGAGGGCGGCGCGGCCACCCGTTTTTGTTTCAGAATGCGCGCGTGCGTGTTCGTGCGGCCATTCACGTGCGTGCGTTTGTGTTCGTCATCTGTATGTGCGGAGCGTGCGGCGCGTCGCGAGGCCTTTCTGCCGCAGCCCCAGTTCCGGTGGAGTGGGGTTCGGCCCGGTGCCCCGAGGTGCCCTGGCCGCGTCCCCGTGAGGAGGCTCGGCGAGGAGGCTCGGCGAGGAGGGCCATGTCGGGGCGGCCGCCGACCGCGAGGGGCTTCCCTACTTCCCTCGCAGGCTTAATCCCAGGAAAGGCCATAAAAAAGCGGGCTTCCTTCCACGAAAGCTTCTCTCATTGCAACCCTCCCAAGCACGGCGAGGAAGCCCTGCTCCTGCTCCCCCCGTGGCTACACTGGCCCGGATTTCCAGCCCCAACCCGACAACCCGACCCACCCGACCCCAGAGAGCGAGCCAGCCAGGCGGGCAGCGGGGTCGGCCAACTTCGGCGAAGTATGGCAAACTAAGCAGCGCGTCGGCGGGTCGGCGGCCGGCGGCGTGAAATTGATTGATTGGAGCCGCCGGGCCGTTAGGCCGTCAGGCCGTGAGGCAGTCCGCGAGTCTGAATCTCGACAGCGCGGCAAACGAGGCGAACGCGGCCTAGCCTCGCACCGGGCCTATTAGGGTCCACGTTGGCGCCTTTTTGTGCTGCTTTCTGATTGGCCGCATCGGGCCGGGCCGAGCTAATCCGAGGCCGCGCTGCTGCGCCGTGCTGCGCTGCCGCGCCCCATTGTCAGCGGGGAGGACGATGATGTCTCTCTGTCCGCGCTCAATACATCACCGTCATCGTCTGTCCACCTCGCCATTTTTTCATCGTTTATTTTTTCAAGGTGGTTCTGCGGCACTGCACACCGATCCGCTCTCCATCATGATCTCGTTGCTGCGTGCTGCGCGCTAAGCGCCGCGGTGCGGCGCGCCGAGCTTTATTTCCTTATTGATCGGAAACACGAGGCGGCGCAGGAAGCCGATGCACACACACAGTCACCTACACACATGCGCGCGCGCGTCCGGGACAACGAGATGGGGAGAGAAAGGGGCCGCGACAAATGTGTGTGCATACACGTCGTACACACACACACACAGACTCGCCGGCCGGGCGAAAGAGAGAGTCCGCCACGTGTTTGTCACGTGTCCATCACCCGGTGCGTGTGAGTGTGTGTGTGTGTCCCCGCCGTGTTTGCCGCCCTGTCCCTCGGCTAACTGAACTGCCCCGAATTAAATTTGCGCAACTCGATTTGGCTCGACGCCCCGCCCGCCACGCCGGCACGCCGCCACGCCCGTGTTGGCTTAAGCTGCCGCCACTCTCAACAAGGACCTGCCCCGCTCCGCCCCGCCCCGCTGCCGGGCGGTCTGCTTCTCCGGCCGGTGGTCCGCTAAATTACATTCGTTTCGGGCTGCGCCTCCGCGCCCCGCCCCGCGCCCTGTCACTCGCTGTGCCCCTCGGCGTCAGCAGCGCGGAGACGAGGCGGGGGTGTGGTGGGGGCCGACGACGATCGGCAAAAATCAAACGGCGGAATCGGAAAGTGCAGCGACAGCGCGGCACGGCGGGGCGCGCCGGGGCGGGGAGACGGCGAGGACCCATTACGGAGAGTGCAGTCCGGCGGTCCAGCGCGGTCCAGCGCGGTGGGGTTGACGGCCAGCTGGACCGGCCGACGCGCGGCCTTTACGACGCCGAATAACGCTCTGCTCGCTGCACTTTTATGCTCTAATTTTACTTTACGAGTCGCCACCGTGTGCGGCGCCCTGCTTGCGGGTCGCGGGTCCCCCTGCTGGACGGGGTCCGGATCTGCGAGCGCGCCGAGAGCGGCTTCGTGTCCAGCGCGGCGGGGGTGTGGCGGCGGTGGCGGCGGTGGCGGCGGCGGGGGGCTGAAAGCTAGCCGGCTACTGGGGCCGCATCACCATGGCATCAGCTTACATAAATCTGGGCTTTGGGGTAGCAGGGCCGAGCGGGGCGAAGCGGGGCGGAGCAGGGCGCCCCGCCGCGGCGTCCTCTATGCTGGCTGCGAGCGTGGAGGCGGTGGTGGCGCCTCCCCACTCCCCTCTTTGACTCGGCGAGGGTCAGCTCGCAGACGGCCGTTTGGCTGTTCGGCAGCGCCAGGCAGCGCCAGGCAGCGCACCCCCATACGCCCACGCGCAGCGCGGCAGCGCGGCAGCGCGCACCCCAGCGGGCGGCGCCGACACGCACAGCGTCGCCCGTTGCCCGGTCCACGCTTCGGGTTTCGCAAAAAAGCGTGTTGTGTTTCGGAGGGAGCGGCCGACACTTGCCAACATTAATTTGTGTCGTGTGAGGAATGTTTGCGCCAGCGCCGCCAGCGCCGCGTTGCCGTGCTCGCCGTGACGGACGTGAGAACCAGCGGGAACGCACTCGATGCTGTCCGGCCGGGCGCCGCTCCAGTTGCTGCTGCCCGAGTGCGCGCAGTGTGGTTCCCAGTTCCCGCGCTTTTAGCGGCTCCAAGCGTTTCCCGCGTCTCGGCCGGCCGGCGGGGCGAGGCAAGCCGCGGCTCTGCGCACCATTACCATACCAGCCGCACCGCACGCGGCACGCCGGCACCGAGCAAGGAGGGAACAAAGTGAAATGGAAAAAGAGGCTTACGGAAGGCGAAAGTGTATCAAATTCCACTTCCCGGTCTAAACTCTAAATTCATCGCCGTCCCGGCCGACACGCCTGACGCGCCCCTCTTTATGACAACACAAGTTGCTTTGCGCCGCGTGTCCGGGCCGCGCGGGCCGTGCAGCAGGCCGTGCAGCAGGCCGTCGACGAGGGAAGGAAAGGAAACGTTTCCCGGAGATTGAGATTTATATGCCCCCGGGCCCGGGCGGCGTGGGGCCGCTCCGGGCATTCTGGATCCGGGAGTCCCCCCTCCCCTCCCCCACCCCTTGCGAGCCCGGAGAGTCATAATGGAAAGCGACTAGCCCGCCTTTTGTCCGCAAACACTTATTTCGCACACACATATACACGTACACGGTGCGGTGACGCTAAACGACGCGCGAGTGTGTGTGAGTGTGCGAGAGAGAGGGACCGCACCCGCGGACGGCCCGCATTAAGAATGAAACTCTTTCTGTTGGCGCCGTTGGCGCTGGCCGTTTTATTTTCTATTAAAATTCCTTCTTTTCTGTCTCTCTCTTTTTGCAGGGCGTGACAGGCCGCGCCAATGACTGCGGGTCGCGGCAGGGCGTCGGCCAGGGCGGGACACTCCCCGCCGGCAGCGCGCGCAGCGGCACTGGACGTCCGGAACGGTGACTAGGACGCCGCGTGCCTCGCGCACGCCACGCCGGCCTCACGCTGGAGCACAACGCCCTCGCCATGATGATGGAGACGGAGGAGATCAGCAAGATGGTGGACACCGTCTACAAGGTGAGTTTGATCACAGCATGACGGCGGCAGGCAGGGCAGGCCCCAGCTGCAGGCCTCCCCACACCGCGGCGGCCATCCCGGCGGAATTCTTCCCAGTTCCCCGATAAGTCCGAAGCCGGCTCAAACAACAGCCGAGTTTTAGGCAAACAAAAGTGGGCGGGGGAAAATAAGAACAGGAGTATTTTTCGTGGCGAATAAAAAAGTTGCGGACTTTGTTTAAGAGGGGAGTAAGAGCCTGCAGGGCATCGGTGACTGCAGTGGGGGGCGACCCCGCCCCGCCCCGCCGCGCCTAGGCCCATAAGGCCAGGGGCAGGACGACGGCCACCCCCGCGCCGCCAGCCGCGCCACTCGACATGGAATCCTACTTAAACTTTACGTACACACGCAAAGTTCATGGCGGCCCTGGCTCAAGCCCTGGCTGGTGTGGATGTGAACAGACCAGGCTGGCGGAGGCGCGAGGCGCGAGGCGCAGGATGTTGTGTCAGTGTGGGCAAAGAAGTCTTCTTCCAGGCTTCGGGCGCAGCGACGCGGCACGGCGCGGCATGGCGGCGCGGCCAGCCGCTCCTCTTGTTGCTGCTCTTGTTGACCTTGGCTGACTCCGCGCGGCGCTTTCCTCACCGCTTTCTTCTTGCTCTTGTTGCTCTCTTTGTTCTCCAGTGATGCTATTTCTGGCGGGAATTTCAAAATGGGCATATCGCGTAGGGTGATTGTTTGTTGTTTGCCGGGGAGGCCGGCCCAGGAAGCTTCAAGCGCGGGGCACAGCGTGAGTGCTCTCTGACATTACCGCGGCACCGCGGCCACGCGGCCACGCCCCCGGGTGCCGCCTAGCCTGGCCGCCTCGCCGGACGACGGCGTGACCGCTCTACAGGGCGCCGCACCGCCGCGCCGCCGCGGTGCGTGGACGGCGTGGACGAGGACGGCGTGGACGCGGACCGCGAGGCGTTCGATCCGGAGCACGGTACCCTATACCCGCGCCTGGATCAGGTTTAAGGTGCGCCGGCCGGGGGAGTGGTGGCGAGGGGAGGGGGAGGTGTTGTGCAACGCCGACGTCTCGGCAGTCTGTGCCGGCCGCCGGCACGGCGAACATGGGCCTGGCCGGGCCTGTCCGGGCCGGGCCGCCCCCCTCCCCGACAGGCCGACAGGCCGACAGGCCGGCGGGGGCGTCGCGGGGGGTCAGGGGCTGCCCAAAGGCCCAAAGCACACGGGGCAGAGGACACGGTCCGCTTCGCTTGATGGGCGAACACAGCCTTGCAAATGTCAGAGCAGGGTGCTGCAAGGGGTGGGGCTGTGCCCCGGCCGTGCCGGCGTCACGCAAGTCCCGGCGCGTCGCCCCGATAGCGGGCAAAGAGCACCGCCCTGGCCGTCGTCGTCGGGACGATCCTCTCCAGCGGCCAAGTCCCGGTGACTCTCGGCATGGCGGCACCGCCCGGGCGGGGCACTGCGGGGCAGGTGGATGCAGTAATTGAGCCACTAATGCAGCCGCGTATTGGAATTCGGCCAGCTTCGATCCGATTACAGTGCAGCAGCCGGGCGGCCTCGCCCCGCCCCGCCCCGCCGCGCGCACAGAGACAAAGACACGCACTCTAACTAAGCCGCGGCGGTGCCTGCGGTGCCGCTCTGCTGCAGTGTCGTGAATTTTACACTGTCGCCGCCGTCGCGCGGCGCGTTGGAACAACAACTCTGCCGCCGCCGCCGCTGTCTTTTAAATTGCTCTCATATTAAAGTCGCCGAAGCGAGTTGTTCCGGGCGCACTGTCGCGCCGTCGCGCTGTCGTCGTCATCCTCTCCACTGGAAGCTGGAAGCGCCCCCGGCGGACCACTTTCTTTTTGTCTGGAAAAGCGCGCGCCCTGGCCGTGCCGCCCTGGCCTGGGTGGCGGGGGAAGAGTAAACATGATAAAAGCGGAGCGGGAAAGAAGAGCTATAATATAATGAATACATTTGACGTTAATGCACTCGCTCACTCAGTCTCGCTCACTCCGGTGCCGTCGTCATCGAGTCAAGAGCCTGCCCGGCGGCCGGTTACACAGTCAGTGCCGCCGCAGGAAAGAATTTTCGGCAGTAGCGGTTTGTGATAAAATTAGTCTCCATTCGAGGAGCAATTAATCCGCTCGCGGCAGTCCCGCCATTTCGGGGGAGAGGGGAGGGGGTCGCGGTTTGCCCTGCCCGCTCACGTGAGGGAGAAAGGGGGCCCTCTCATTAGCGGCGGTTAGTTCCTGCTCCTGCCGCTTGGTGCCGCGCGGCGCTGCATTGCAATCCCGCTGCATTCGAAACTAAGTTTGATGCTGCTGATAAGGCAGCCTGGTCCCCCGCCCCGCGCCAAGCCCCACCGTGCACTTTGGCTTGCAGTTGCAGTGGTCCGTGTGTTGCGCGCGCAGCGCGACGCGTCCAAAGTTAGTCTAATGGTTGTTTATCTGGCGCGTCTGGCGCCACCGTCCGCACCCTCCTCGGGAAGCGCAGGCGTTCCCCGTCGCCTCGCCGCGTTCGGGTCGCTCCGGGTCCACACAGTGCACCCACCGCCGTCGCCTCTGCTCGCACTTCCTTCCCCGACTCCGACAATAACGCCCTGCCAAAAAAGACGCCCGTGGACCTGCGGCAGCCTGGACCGGGTGTGTGCCTCGGCCAAACAGAAAGAGAGCCTGTCGCTTTCCAGCGGACTGATGATTTCGAGAGTCGCTTTCGTCGCTCTGTCTCTCTCGCACCCCTCCGGGGCACCCTGTGAGTGCGAGAGAGACAGAGCGAGGAGAAGGACTCACGGAATCCGTCTGCAGGGGCTTGGCCGAGGGTTCGGCCGGGGGCTTGGCGAGGCCGGGGACACAATGCACTCGTATCGTCACCGGGCGGCGTGTCGCGCTGCGTCGCGCTGCGTCGCGACGCGTCGTCTGCTCGCACAAAGGGCGGGTACGTGTGTTTACATAAATCGGTGCGTGCTGGACGCGTCGACGCGTCGCGGAGAGTGAAAGTGAACGGCGAAGCAAGCGAAGCAACGGCAGGCGACTGCAGTCTGGATGGCCCCGCACGGCCCGGCACACAGTGGGCCAGAGGACCGGCAGAGGCGGACAAAACTCTGGACGCGTTTTGAGCCCCAGAGTCGTTAAATAGGCCTCGAACTCGCTCGAACCGAACGTGTGACCCCACCAATGGATTCCTCCGTCGGAGAGCTATCCATTGGTGGGGTTACACGTTCGATTCGAGTCTCATTTAGCGACTCTGGAGCTCAAAACGCGTCTAGGGTTTTGTCCGCCTCCACCGGTCTTCTGGCCCACTGTGCGGCGTGGCCCGGCCCGCATCACGGCGAGGGGCGCGGCCCAGAGGCCCTCCGCCCTGCGAGGCCCCGCTAGCGAAAACGCCGCCATCATCATGCCGAGGGTATTATTAGTGGAATGCATCGGAATCGGTGAAGCTTTCTTCTTTTGGCGTTTACGCCTTTTGCCTTTCGTCTGCGCCGCGCCGTGGGTGGAGTGGATGCGGGCCCCGCCGCGGCGGCGACGCCGTGGGCGTGCTGGTACACTGAAAAAAAGTACTCATGGAAAAAGACATGAAGCGTCGGAGGCCACCGCCGCAGTAGCCTTCTGTCGCTGTCGCCCACTCTCAGAAAATGAGTCTTGGAAGCGACTGGCGGGAGTCGAACCCGCGCCATCGCGCGCCACCACCGCGGCTGGGGCGGCAGCAGCGCTGTAACCGGTGCCGTAACAAAGTCCGCTGCCCGCGTGAATGATAGTACTCAGCACATTCCTAGCGGAGTGGTACCGAGGGAGACAAAATAACGCCGGCCTGCTGCTTGCGGTGCGGTGCGTTGCAGTGTCGTAAACCGAAGGCCCCAAAGCGCTTGAGCCGGGAACAGAGTGCCACGCGCCGCTGGTTGAGGAAGTCTTCGGACGCCGCGTGGCCGCCCCGTAAGTCTACATGTAATATGCCTGCGAGAGTAATATCATCATTTAGGCCGGGCCAGGTGGGGCGGGGCGGGGAGGGGCACCAACCGTATTATCTCCGGCTCGAGGCTAGGCCCGCCGGCCCGCCCCACCTAGAGCGAGTCGAGTACACTGTTGCAAACGTCTTATGTCGGTTCAATTCTGCCGCTGTTCTCCGCGCGTCGCCTCCCCGTCGCCACACTGCTCGTTGTTTTCGGCGCGGTCGCTGAGCTAGCCAAGCTAGCCGTGGCTCCAGCCGGAGGGCTCGGCGGTGCGATGCGATCCCTGTGAGTGTTGCCCAACGCCCCGCCTGGGGTCGTGCGGGGCCCCGAGCGAGCACACCCTCGCAACTGCATTCGATTTATTCAATAGTTGCTTACTTAGCGACGCGTGAGTTGACTCGCTCGCACGGAGCGGCGCCCGTAGCAACCCGGAAAGAAGGGGCGGCCGGGGGGAGGGTGGGGGGAAGCCCCTCGTGGAGCCCTGAACGCCACAGCCTGCACGACCCGGGGCCCGGCGTTACGGCGTTACATCGACACCGCGACCGCCTTCCTGCACTGCACTGTAAAGAAGGCGGAGACCAGCATTGACAGCAGCAAGCATTGACTGCAGCATTGACAGCGGCGCTGCCGGCAGCAGGAAACACCCGCAGCCTTGGCCGTGGCGGGACGGGGCGCGGCGGGGCGCGGCGGGGCGGGGCGTGCGGCCGGAACAATGAGCAGAACGATAACGCACCGCTTTGAAAGTCCAATATCCACTTCCTTGATGAATTTGTGCGTGCCGTGCCGGCCGTGCCGGGCAGCCGGCGGCACTTCCTCGCCGTCTTGCCGGAGTGCGTGCTGCGTGCTGCTGGCGGCAGCAGGGCGCCGCAGTGCGTGACGGGGGTCTCGGCGTGCGCCGGGTCCTGGGCCGGGCCGGGCCGCCGGCGTCCACTGCGGCGCGCTATGGCTTTGGCGCCCCGAGTAGGCCCCGCCCTGCCCTGCCCCGCCCTGCTGCACTGCCCAGGGCGGCCCAGGGCCTACCGGCGCGCCGTACAAAGTTGGGTCGTTGTCACTTTTCCCATTTGTATGCTAAGCGGCCGGCGTGCACGGCAGGGAGGGGGAGGGGGGGAAGGTGCACGTCCACGGCCGAGTCCACGGCGCACGCCCCGCCCGGCCGCCACCGCCACGCGCCGCACGCCGAATGGGTTTAGCCACCTGCCCCGCGCCTCGCGCCTCGCGCCGTACGCCTGCTGCGGTGGGCTGCGGGCGATCATCTCGCTGCAGAGGGCCTTGGCCGGGCGGGGCGGGGCGAGGCTGGGGCTTCAGGAACGGCTGCCCGGGCTTATTTGCGTCTGCTTTGAAAAAGAGGCCCTGGAGCTGGATTTATGCACCCATGTCTGTGTGCGCGCGTGCCCGTGTGTGTGCGTGTGAGTGTCATCCCTGGCCAGCCCCGTGGGGGTCTCCGTCGTGACAAGGGCATTAATTTGACATGGCCCCACCAGAATGCGGCCCTCCGTTCTCCGCCCTCCGCCCGCCCTGCACTGACGACTGCCCTGCCCCGCCGGGCAGCCGGACCGCCAAGACCCCCAGCCCGAAGCCCGAAGCCCGAAGCTCGCAGTGATGAATCGGAGGGTAATTGCCACACGAGAAGCGGAGGCCGGGCGGCAGGGCGGCAGAGAGGAAGAGAAGGGTGGATTTCTTTCTCCGTAAATTTCCCTATGCTCGTTCCTACGGAACGCGACCCCCTTCCCCTCTCCCTCTCCCCCTCGCTCCCCGCTGCGCCGCCCCGTTCTAATTGCTGGCTGTCCTGCTGCGACTCGCCTGACTCGCCGGCAGACCGATTCCGAACAGCGTCTGTCTCTCTCGCACCCGCACGGAACGGCCCGCGAGTGCGAGAGAGACAGTGTGGTGGTCTGCTTGCGACGCCCAGCCTGCCCTGCCTGCCCCGCCCTAACGACGCCTAGTCTAATGGCCCGTGCGTTTTGTCCTGCCCGCAGAACATCCTGGACAAGTTCAACCCGGCCGCCCGGCAGCTCATCAGCGCGGGCAAGGTGTACCTCAAGGCCCTACACGGTGAGTACACAGCACACAACGCGTCGGCGACGACGACATCGAGGACCTGCAGCTGCCTGGAGGCTGCTCACCTAACGCGTTTTCGTCGCTGTCTCGCTCGCACATACACGGGACTCCCCGTGAGTGCGAGAAGAGCAGACGCCTTTCGGAATCATCAGTCTGCGTTCGCCGAAGCGATGCAGACCGTGACCCGCGAGCCGCGAGCCACTGCAGCTGGTTGCGTGCACCCACGCGCACCACCTCACGCCTCGCGCGGGGCGGGGGAGAGAGGGGGGCCTCCACGTAACGCGGCGTAACGCCGTGCTGCAGGAACTGGACCTGCTGCGTGCACGCCAAGCCCCGAGCCCCGAGCCAGCCAAGGTGATTGTCACCAAGTTCCCACACCACGTCATGTGAGCACCCTGTTTCTTCCGCCTGCGTTGCACACCGCGTAGTGCGCACCGCCGCACCGCACCGCGCTCACACTGGCCGTGGCGTGCCCGCTCTGCAGCGCCCATCTTATTGGCACACAACTTAACCACGGCCCATTACCGTGAACCACTGACCCGTGTCCCGCGCGTGCGTGCGTGTGTAAGTGTGTGTGTTGCAGCGCGGAGAGCGTCCCACGGCAAGCCAAGCCCCCCTTAATGAGGCTAGCCTCCATCGCCTCCAGCACGTCGCCGGCGTTACGTTATGGTCGCCCCGGCGTCGCCACGGCCGTGTCACGCAGCAGCAGGTGACCGTCGCGGCCGTGCCCACCGCGGCCGAGTCGCCGAGCCCGTCCCGGACTCCAGTCGTGTCCAGCCTCTCGCTTCATCTTCGGCGCCTCTCCGTCTGCGGTGTGGCGCAACGCCACGCAGGGCCCGGCCCAGGCCCGGCCCACGGCCCACGGCACGCACCGCTGGCTGGCTGCCTGGCTGCCTGGCTGGCCGCCTGGCTGGGCGGTGAAGGCGACATACCGACTGAGTCAGCGACTCTGCTGCAAAGTGCAGGCAAGGCCGCGCCTGGCTGCCTGGCCGCCTGGCTGCCTGGCCGCCGGGCCGAAAGCGAGGCGAGACTGCAGCGACCGCGCCGCGCCGTGCATGTGGTGCGGTGCATGTGCATCTGAGCGAGAGCGGGCAATCACTGGCCGAGCCGCCGAGCGTCTAGATTGATTCCTCGGAGGAGGCATGCAGGCCGTGTGCCGTGTGCGAGGGAGAGGGTAAAACGGAGGCAAAAAGAATGGCGCACGGATAATGAGATTCGAAACCGTCCCGGCGGCGGAATGGCAGTGCAGGCGCGGCGCGCAGGCATTCCCGCAGAGCGTTGCCGTCGTTGCCGCGGGCGCCAGGTCCACGGGGAGTCGAAGCCGGGACCATCGGTTTGCAAACCAGCGCCTTAACCAGCTGAGCCACCGCAAATGGACTCGGCGATGATGTTGTTCTCCGCGGCCGCCCCTCCCCTCGGTGACAGTCCTGACAGTGGTAGATTGCCCCACTTGCCTCACGGGCTGCACGGGCTGCATTGCATGTCCCCCGGGCCCGGCCCCAGCCACAGCACCGGCAGGACAAGTGGCTCGGTATTTTGGGACAATATATCGGCACGGCGTGTGCATGTGTGGGGTCGGGGCCCCGGTCGGGGTGAGGCAGATCCGACGCGAGATAGGCGTGGCCGCCGTTTGCATAAGACTTGTCTTCCGACATGCAGTAGTCCCCGCTACTTCACTGCAGTTTCCTTTTTCTTTTCCATTTTCCCGAAGAGATTTTTACAATGTCCGTCGTTGGTGTGTGTGCGTGAGTCCCCCACCAGTTCTCGCTCCCCCCGGCCGCCCCGGCCCGACGCGGCAGAAAGTCGCCCCCCGGTGTCCTTGCGGCCAGAGAAACTTCCTGCCGGCTTATTCCAACTTAGTAAATCTTAAAAAGGGCCGGGCAGGACCGTGGGGCGGCGCGGGGCGCGGCAGGACACTGTTAGGCCCGGCGCCCCGCTCCGCTTCGCCCCGTTTCCTGCAGCGGGAAGCGATAAGAGTTATTGCAGTCGCATAACGCCCCGAAGGCCGAGGCCCGCCGAGGCCCGAAGCAACGAGTGAGACATTAGTGTCTCAAAGGCAGAGATCTAATTTGGATTGGCCCGGCCGGCCAGCCTGTCAGGGAAGGCGCCATCAGATACCAAGCGTGCGCGTCGCGTCGCGAGTCCACTGGAAGTCGTTCTTCACGGCGCGGACGCTCGCCGCCCGGCGGGTAGGCAACCCAACGCGCTGTAGTGCTCGCCGGGCGGCCGAGGCGCGGACGCCGGGCGGTCCCCGCGTTCCGGCCGATGACGAGGCAAGGCATCAGGCTGTTTTCAATCACTCTCTACGCTTTGGGCCAAACGCTACGCCGCTTCGGCTGGCTCGGGGCGCTCAAGGACCCCCTGTGCCTGCTGGCGGCGGGGCTGCTGGCCGCCACGGCAGTCTTCTTCGCCGAGACCGTGGTGCACAGTTTGGCCCAGTGACACCAAGGCCAACGACCAAAGTCCACACAGAAAATGTCAATGATGAGACTGAATCAATAATAATCTTTGTTGTTGTTGGATGACGTTTTTGTTGTTTTTTGGGGGGTGGCGCCTCGTCGTACCCTGAGGGAGCAGCGTGGCTGGAACGCACGACCGCGGGCGCCGCGGGCCCTACACCGCGGACAGGGTGTGGCGCACCTGGCCGTCGTGCGCGTACGTGCGCTGCGACTAATACACTGTGCTCTCCGAAGTGTGTGTGTGTGCGTGTGCGTGTGTGTGTGTATGTGTGTGCAGGGGAGGCGGAAACGCGTAGCTCCGGCGTAGCCCGAGTAATAAAATGAAGCACCGCGGCGCGGCGTCCCACCTTCTGTCTGCTTCTACCGTCGCCTTCCTCCGTGCTCCGTGCTCCGTGCTTCGTGCTTCGTGCTCCGCGTCTGGCAATTGCCCGAGTGGTGGCAGGGCTAGCAGGGCGCGTGGCGTGCGGCACGGTTTACAATGTGCGCGTCGCGACGCCCCGGCGACGCTCATGGCAGATGATATGGCCCACCGTAAATTGAAGTCGCACGTGTGTGAGAGTTTGTGTGTGTGTGTGTGAGCGAGTGTGTGTACATGCTGGGGGGCATTCGTGGTCCGAGAGGGCCACCTTCTTGCGCTCGGACACGTCTGGCGGAGATGGCCGTCGTGCTGGCTGCAGCGCCGCCCCGCCCTCCAGGCCTGTCGGCATTTGATCACGTCCGCAAGTGCTTCCCACTGCTTCGCACTGCCCCCACCCCGTTCGGTGTGTGCCTGCACGGCAAGCGCGTCGGCCTCCGCCATTGCTCACACTGCTAATAAGGATGTCATCACGCCCTTCCTCGGGGCAATGATAAACGGCAAGGGTTGGGGGAAGGAGGGGGAACGGACGGGAAGACCACGGAAGACCCGCAGGGCAGGGCCGGCAGGGCCGGCAGCGCTGGGAAGCTCGCTACAAAGTAGTGGCCCAAGCAGCGGGGCCGAGGGCCCGCCGGCTGAATCGTGTTTTAACTCCCATTTCGCCGCGTCGGCATTCGGACCATTCGGACCACTCGGACCGCCGGCCGGGCCGGAAAATACCGTCACAACTTTCGCAGTTGAATGCGACGCGAGGGCCAGGCTCCCCCACTGCCCTTCCCGTTTCCGCGCGCCGTTCATTAAAATTCCTCCACGGACCGCCGATTCCTCGCCGAGACGGCCGAGACGGTGGAGAAGCTCGCAGGGCGGTGCCGCGGTGCCGCCCCCACCTGGACGCGCCCCGGCACGGCAGGGCGGCGGGGGAGGAAAAGAAATCAAGGAGAAAGAGACACGGCGAGGAATTTTGACAGGTGAATGATGGGGCGCCATTCATTCGGGAAGGCGAGACACATTCTTCCTGGGAATTGGGGAGAGAGAGACGGAGAGGGCCTTCGCCTTCGGGGCGGCGAGGGCGCGGGGCGAGGGCGCGGGGCGAGGGCGCGGGGCGCGTGCTTTGAGTCAATGTTGGAGGAGGAAGACACCGACAGAGCGAGGTGCGTGGCGGTGGACAATGGCCTGGCCTGCCCGGCCTGCCCACCCCTCGAGGGGCTTAAGTGAAGCGGGGCTTCGGGATCTCCTTCGGGCTCTCCGCGAGGCCCTCCAAGCCTTTGCCTCCCCGCTGCCTCCGCTAATCAAAAGCGACGGCGTGGTTGTCTGCCCCGCCCCACCAGCCCCACCCCGCCACGCGTCGCATCGAGCAGTAGAATCCGATCGAGAGTCTCGAAGCGGCGTCGACTCGTGGGGCCAGCGCTGCACCCGCCCCGTCGCGCTGCCGCGCTGCCGCGTTTGCATAGTAATTGACAATGGGGCAGAGGCGACAGGGCGTGGCGCGGCGGGGCGGGGCGGACGGGGTCGACTTTGTGGATTCCAGGGCGGAAACATCTTCCTGAGGCCGCCCGCTCGCCCCGCCCCACCCTGCTTGCCGAGGGAGATGAGATGTCTCCGTGAAACAGACCGTTTTCTGCACGGGGATGGTGTCGCTGCTGTCGAGTGGAAGCCGCGGGCGGGGCGCGGCGGGGCGAGAGTCGTCGCCGAGCCGAATGGCGGTGCATTATTGTCGCAAACCGAATTCACGCTCCGCGTTGATGCTCGCTGTGTGGGTTTCCGGTTTCGTAATCCCGCGCCGTTGTCCGTTGTCCCGCCGGCTGCGATCCGCCGGGCGTAGGGGAAGTCCAGCACATTGGACGCCGAGTCGCTGACGGACGCGCGGCCAGGCCAGGCCGGCCGGCCAGGCTCGGCGCGCAAACAAAAGCAGAGGAGGGCGCGTTGCGGTGGGGACTGGGGGGGGGGGCGCAGCCACACAGGGCCCAAGTCAAGCCCAATAAATCCCGGCACTGTGGGAGAAAGTGGCGCGGGCCTGTGGAGCGCGATGACGAGCACTCGGGGACGTTGCCCGCCACCCGCGAGGCTGCGAGGTAGCTGCACCTCCTGACGGGGGTGTGGGCCGCCTCCCTCGTCTGACCCGCCGCTTCCCCCGAGGCCGCCTGGCTGGCTCGCTGGCTGGCTGCCGCCGTGGCTGCTTTGGCCGAGGCCAGGCGTGCTCACGGCAAGATACCGCGTACCCTCGAGCGCGCAGTGGAGCGCCCCTTTGGGGGTTGCGGGGGCTCCTGGGCGCGTATATTCCCCGCTGGTACGTGGTCTGTCTGCGTGCTGCGCTCGGTGCTGCGTGCTGCGCGCCCTCTCTACCCCAGCGGAAAGGGATCCCTGCCGCTGGAGCCTGGTGCCCGAACTGGAGCGCGGGGCACAGCGAGACTCCTCGATGGGACCGGACCGACTTGGCTTCGGTTTTCCTCTTCTCTGTGCAATGCCCCCGGCAAAGCCCCCAGCGCCCCCGGTCTCGGGGAGTGAGGTGACGACGCCGCCGCCGCTGCTTGCTGAGGAGGAGAGAGACAGAGGCAAACACACAAAACGAATGGGACGGTCGGGCCAAGTCAGACGGAGTCAGGGGGACTCGGTTTCATTATTTGCCGAGGCCGGATATTTTAGGCGGGATCTTTATCTGTGTGCCGTAAGCGGATCACTCCCGGCCCCGGCGCCTCGGCACCACTCGCGCGACTGATTTACGCGCCGCCGCGTCGCCGCGTCGTGCACCTGGGCCGAGGCCGAGGCCGGCGCCGAGGTGTTGTTGCCGTCCCCGTCTCTCTTTCGGCTTCGCCGCCGCCACCTCCACCCTTATCTTCGTGGCCAGTGATAGCCCAGCCGGCCGGCAGCGGCGGGGTCGTTTGGCGGGGCTGGGCTCCGGCCGCTCTGATTGCACAAGGGTTAGGCAGCGAGGGCAGGGCAGCGAGGCGGCCAATCCCGGTGCCGGTGCCAGCCAACCAACGCCGCAGCGCAGCTGCCCGGCCACCCCGGAAAAACACGAGTGGAATCGGGCCTGGCGCTGTTTTTGCCCATCGTGGGCACGGCGGCACGGCGGCACGGGCACGGCGACGAGGGTGGGCACGGGCACGGCGACGACAAGCACCGCGGGTTCGCCGGCGACAGCTCGGCGGACGCGACTTCTGGCTTCCCGCTCCCCCCTGCGTCTTGGCGGGGCAGGGGCGGGCGGGCTAGGGTACACGGGCCGTAGTGCACTACTGCGGGGGGTAACGACCCCACTGCTGACCGGACAGGGGCGGGGCGGCCAGCGGCCAGAGAGCCGGGCCTCGGCCGGCCGCCTTTATGGCGCTATACGGCCTGATTGACAGCCAGCGCCACGCCCCGCCACGCCCCGCCACGCCCCGCCACGCCCCGCCGGGATATGGGATTGTGATGAGATGGCCGACGGCCTCATCAACATATCCCCCATCATGCCTCACGATGACCCATACACGTCGTGGCGTCGAGGGCCCTGCTGGCCGGTGGCGCTGGCCGCTGTGTGCCTGTATATTGGTCTGTGTTCGTGTGTGTGTGTGTGTGTGTGTGCATGGGCACAGAGGAGATGACGTGGGGGTGTAACTACACGTCCCGGGGGTGCATCCCATCCACGAGCGGCCGCAGCGGCCCCACTGTGCCCCATGTACAGCCGCTTAAAGCGACCCCGCCGGTCGGTCCCGGGCCTCTGGCGGCCCCAGTCCGCCAGTCCCACGCGCGCCAATAACAGTGCGCAGTGCGGCCCAGGCCCAGCCCGGCCGCAACAAGGACCTCGCAGCACAAACAGATTCCGGGGCTCCGATAACTACCGACCGATGGCTGGCCGCGCCGCCGCCGCCGCCGCTGCTGTGGGGCTCAGCGGCCTAGAGGAGCCCCTCGTGGGGACGCTGCGCGCTGCGGATGGGGATGGCTATTGTGTGGCTGCGTGGCCGCGTGGCTGGATGGATTGTTATGTGAGTCCGCGTGTGGCTCTATTTCACACTTGGTTAGTTTAATGGCCGCCCCCTCCCCCTTCCCCCAGTCTGCGGGGCGCGGCGGGGCGGGCACGCCTGCAGGGCTGCGGGGCTGCCTCATCGCGATCACGGGAATGGCAATAAATTCCGTTTCGGCTCTCGAGCCCGTCGTCCGAATCACACGAGCGGCGGGGTGCGGCGGGGCGCGGCGGGCAGGTCGGTGGCTCCCCTCTCATTTTGCTGCCTCCTTCTTTTGCGCCGCGTCGCGTACTCTATCCGAGAAACAGAGTGCCTGCCCCGCCCCGCCCCACCCCGCCCGGACCGCACTACATCATAAGATAATACTCCCGCGCATGTGCTGCGGCGGTGGCGACGGTGGTGCACGCCGTGGAGCCGCGGCGGCAAGGTGCGGGGCACAGCGGTGTACTGTACGGGGTCGGACCCGAGTCCGTGCTCCCCTTCGCGCCGCCGAGCCCCCGCCGTGCCCCGCCACCCCTGCAGCCCGCCAGCCCGCCGGCCTGACCCGGGTCGGCCGCACTAACTAACAGAGCCTAACGGACTCCTGCGCGGCCGGCTCGGCGGCGCTCGGCGACCAGGCCGTTACAGGCAATGGGAAGGCGCGGCGTGGCGTGGCCGGCGGTCATGAAGCGAAAAGGGCGGCCGCAACTTTTCCAAAGGGCCGCCATCATGCCGATGCCCTCCTAGCCGCCGACCCAAGCCGGGCCGCGCCCATGGCCGCGCCTCCGCGCCTCGTGTCCAAGGCCTGAGTGCAGCGGCCGGCCTCGGCCCGGCCTCCGCCTCGGCCTCCACCCCGGCGAGATCGCTCTCTTTCCAGCCGTAACTCCGAATTAAGTTTTCGTCCCGGAGAGGAGCAGGCCGAGCCTAGCAGGGGAGAGGGTGGGGGGAGGCGCAGTGCTAGGCCAAGCAGCCTGCTTCCGAACAGTGCTTTCGTCGCGCTGTCTCTCTCGCACTCATGCGGTACGCCGCGGAAGTGCGAGAGAGACAGCGCGACAAAGCTCTGTTCGGAATGCGCCTGTGGAGCCCTTTGGCGGTGTAATCGCGTAGCGTCGCAGCGTCGCAGCGCCGCGTAGCGAAGACAAATTCCTAAGCACGCCGCGGCCGGCGGGGCGCGGGGCAGGCACACCCTTCGCAGGACTGCAGTGCCCCCTTCCCCTTCCCCCGCCGGCTACATTTCACCCGCCTTTGCCATCCAAAGCAAGAAAAGCGAGCGGAAGAGCGCGGCCCGCACAGCAGCAGCCTCGGCAGCAGCATAGCGCCGTGAGGGTAGGCAGCCCCAACCCCGCGCGCAGCGCCGTGCGACGGGCCGGCCTGCCTCGCAGGCGATGGCGCGCGGCCTCGTCCTCATCCTCGTCCCCGGCAGCCTTGACGAGCGTCGAGCGGCCGGAAGTGTGGCCATTCTCTATTTATCGACGCGTCCTGGTCGCCTTCCCACCCCTTCCAGCCCCCACCCTTCCCTCTTGTCCGCGCTGCCCTGCCCCCAGGGGAGCGATTTACCGTTCACCTCCATGATTGTCCTTCTCTCTCTGTCCCCCTCTCTCCAGCGCCGCCAGGCCGCCAGGGCAGCTGGGGAAAATGGTTGGGGCGACCGCTGTCCCGGAGATCAAGGGAGAGAATAAGGTTCGGAAGGGCGTGTTCCAGCGTTCCAGGTGGACAACCCCAGTGCCAGTTCATTCCACCTTGACGGCCGCGCTGGCCACGCCGGCCCGGCCTTCAGGGCCCTCGGGGCTTCTGGGCTTCAGGGCTTCTGGGCCTCGGGGAAACTCTTCTCGCCTGGCCCGGCGTCTGCGGGCTCCTCGGGCCACCCTCCACGAACCAGATTCGGCCCTCTGCCTCGCAATGGAGAGCACGGCGACATTGTTTAGTGGGAAAAGTGGCAGGTCCATGATACAGGCGACCCTACGACCGTTTCGAAAACATGTTGTCGGGCTCCGCGGCTCCGCGCAATAACACGCTGAGTAGACGGCGCAATTGGTATCGACGTCATCTGCCAGCTGTTCCAGCACATTCCCAAACCATTGTTATTGCCATTTCACTTATATTTCGTTGTTTCGAAACAAATCCATGTTTTTCCCCGATTCGACGGGTGCGCCGAGCCGCGTGCCGCGAATCGGAATGTCCGCCATGTCGGCGGGCTGGGCCTCCCCGCCCGATGTGTCATCTCTACTCACGCTTGGCTGGCCGTCGAAGCCCTCGGCCCTCCAGCCCTCCAGGCCCTCCGGCCCTTCCGCGTGGCCGCGCCCTCGGCCAGCAGGACGACAAGGACGACACGACCAAGGGCGGCGCGTCCGAGAGTCCGAGGGCGAGAGGGAGGGCCACCGAGGCGAGGCCCACGTTTCGCTGACTGGCGACGGCAGAGTCGTTCCTCCGGAAAGGTCCGGGCTGGAGCGGGCTGGAGCGGGCTGGGGGCCAGATTGGAGCGGCCGAGCAGAAGTGCATGGCGCCGGGGCAGGCCGGGCGGGTCGGTCTGGCAGTCCCGGAATATGCACGCCGGGGCACATGCCTGCGCATGCCAGGCCCAGGAATGGCTGAAAATCCGAGCCAGCGACCGTCCGCAGGGCCTTCTTGGCCAGGGTGCTGTTGCCACTTGTCGCTTCGGCCCGGCCTGCTCGGCTCTGCTCCGCTCGGCTCGTTACCGAGACTAATGTGCGGTGTGTCCCAGCAACCCTATCGCAACGTGCACTAAGCCCCAACCCCGCTCCTGCCCGTCCGTTCCCAGCCCGCGGCGGCGGGGCCTGCCTGCCTGCCTCGCCAGGATGGCTCGAGATAGCGTGGCCCTGTCGTCATTTTGTCGTTTTAGCTTCCGAATCGCACCAACTCGCCACAAAAGGCTCTAAAAAGACGTCAAGTGGTGAGACGGAAAAAATAACTGGCGTGACTTGAACGCCTCTCATTTCCAGAAGCTGACGGTTGTTTTCCTGTTCCAGGGGCGGCCGCGGCGTCCAGGATGTACGTGGAGGCCCTGTCCAAGCTGGCGCGCCACAGCCAGCAGCAGGGCTCCTGGGGAGGCTGCTCCGACATCAGTGAGTACCAACACGACCGACTTGGCAGGGCTTTTTTTTTCGGGAGGGTGGTCATGCGTCACGTGGTGCAGGCTCCTGCTGCTTCCGCGCGCGGCCGCGACGCTTTGAGATGCAGGACGCCACTTCATCAGAATAACGCCGGGCCGCCGGGCCCACAGCGGGCCACAGCCGGGCCCACGGCATGCGTAATGGCCGCCATTTACAAGGCGCGTGCGTGTGTGAGTGTGAGCCGGGGTGCCGAGTGTTGGTGCAAACAACAACACTGCGCGGTTTCCTTTTTTAGCTCTGTTTTTTTTTGCGATTCTTTTCCCCCGCGGTTTTCCATATGACACGAGTTCCAGAGTTCCACACGCGGCGATAAAAAGACAAAAAAATCGGTGAGAAATAAGAGGGGCACGCACCCACAAGCACACGCACCCCGGCGCCCCCCGGTTATTTGGACATTTATTGATGGTGCAGTAAGTCGAGGGCAGGCCGGGCGGAGGTGGAGGGGGAAGGTGGGAAGGTGCGAGTCCCGTTTTGATTTACACGCCCTTTGTGCTGTGCGTGCCACTGCGTGGCACTGGCCTTGATTCGCGATGAAGCCCTCGGAGGCCTCGCCGCCGAGGGCTCGCCGCCGAGCCCTCGCCCCAGCCTCCCCCACGCGGCCGGCGACTACCCTCGGCCGGCCGTCGCGGACAGGACAGCCCAGTCCGGCCGATTCTTCGGAAACAAGCGAACGCCCTATCGCCCCTCGCAGCAGACACGCCGCCGACGCCGCCCACGCCGCCCGCCGGCGTTTCACCCGAAAGCAATCCAATTTTCTTCCTTCCCGGCTCAAAATCTTTGATAGTAATCGCGTTGCCGTCGTTGTCTAGGTCGGCTTGCCTAATTGTGCCGACCCTGGCCCGGCGCGGCCTCGCCTCGGCCCGAGCGAGCCGGGTGCAGCGCCGCAGCCATTTAAATTGCAAATCGGCTCGGCCGGCTCGGCCCGGTGTAGGTTTTGGCGCGTCCGGGCGCGTCCCTTCCCTTCCCTCCACCGTGGCTCCACCGTGGTTCCACCTGCCCGCCCACTGCCCCACGGGGCGCCGGGGGCGTCCCAGCCATGCCCTGCCCCGGCCCCGCACTCGGCACTCCGCTGTGGGCTCGGGGACCGGCTCGGGGGCAGAGGGAGGAAACCTCTGCCATTGCCATTACACGGCACTTTCTACGCAACACGTCGACCCGTTTGCCGCCCTGCACAGCAGCGCTACAGAACAGACTGATTCCGAGAGTCGTTTCATCGCTGTCTCTCTCGCAGCCGTACTGTGCTCATAAGTGTGAGAGAGACAGAGCGACGAAAACGACTCAAGGAATCAGTCCACTGTCGCACCCCGCTGCCAGGGGCGGCTCGGCCCCTTTTTTTGGCGCGAAAATCCGAACCACCATTCCGGTGGTAGCGCTGCCAGCGCTGCCTCGCCGGCAGGAATCGACACTCCGTTCCGTTCTCCATCTCGTTTGTCGGCGAGGTCCCCGGACGGCTCCAGGACGCCGATGATAAATGCGTCTCCCTTGGCCTCGTTATCCGAGAGCGGCCCGGCGCAGCGCAGCGCCACCTGTCCGCGACGGAGAGGATCGGGATCATGGGGCGGACGGAGGAGGGAGGGGAGCGCGACTGGCAGCAGCGCACAGATTGGATTGTTGCAATTTAGGCAGTGGCCGCTCACCATTATTGCCCCCAATTTTATCTCACCCCACTGGCAGTGCCGTTGCCTCAGGCTGCCTCCCTCGGGCTCGGGGCCTCTGCCTCTGCCCTCCGCACGATACTCCCTCGCCCCCACGCCCCCACGCCCCCTCGGCCCACACCCCGGGCGGGGCTGCGCCTTGGGCTGCGGAGGCCAATCTGGAGCCGGTCGCACGGCCCGTGCCCACCAAGCCGAGCGATTTAAAACGGGAGCGGGAAAGGAAAGAGGATGCCGATCTGCGGTCTCTGATCTCATTCCAGACGGCTTCGCGGCTGGAGTCCTAAAGTCTCAAGTCGCGGCCATCCATAATCCTGCCAAGAATCCTACACCACTCGGCGGAGTGTCTAAGCCTCAACAACACAACCAGTACTCAGAGACACGCAAAGCAGGAAATTGCGTTGTGGCGCTCAACACCAGTTTTTATTTGTTCGCAGGTGCAGCCCTCTTGCAGGTGGTCGACGTGTACAAAGAGGTTCACGAGCAGCAAATGAATATAGTAAGTGCCTTTTTTGATTTTTCCGTCGCATTTCACATTATCAAGTGAAGTAAAGCAGCGGGAAATACCCTACGGGAGAAGGGTGGTGGTGGTGGTGGATTTAGTTAAGTAGTGACATGCCAGTCATACCAACTGAGCAAGCATGCCGCGGAATTCCACTATGTCGCTGGGAGGGGTGGGGCGGAGAGCTCAAAGGAGGCGACACACACACGAACACACACAACACCCGCGCAAGCGCTCATTGTGTCACAAGGGCTTCAAAGTGCTTTGCGTCCCGGCAGTTCCGACTCGCGCGGGCGGAGCGGGGCGGGGTGCATCGCTTGTTGTCTTAACCGCCCCCTGTCTGTTCCAGCTCAAGGCGTTCTACGTGGATCTGCTCGTGCCGCTGGAAACCAATCTTGAGAAGGACACCAAAGTAGTGCAGGTGAGTGAGTGGATGTGGATGCGGCGGGGCGGGGTGGCTTTGTCAACTGGGCGTGTCGGCCTGGGTCGGCCCTTCCGCCGCGCCCCGCAGCCCGTGTGTTCTTGCACAACTTGGCCGTCAGTGGGGCGGGGTGGCTTGGGGGTTGCTGCGACAGGTGCCGGTGACGAGGCGGGGCGGGGCGGGGCGGGGCGGGGCGGGGCGGGGCGCTGAGCGTGCGCGTGATATTGGCGCGGTGAACGTCCTCAGGCCGCAGGGCGGGCAGGGCGGGCAGGGCGAGCGGGGCATCATCGCCGCAAAAAAGGGTTCCCGGCCAAAGTGTCGGTACCGTTCCCCGGCCGGGCCGAGGCTGCCGAGGCGCGGCGGCAATTTCAAACGGGCGGGCTGCGGCGCTGCGGCCTGCGGGCCTGGCGGGAACTTTGAGAGCGCTGTGGTGTGGTGGCGGTTTGTCGGCAGGAATGTGCGTGTGTGCGTGCGTGTGTGTGTGTGTGTGTGTGTGTGTGTGTGTGTGTGTGTGTGTGGCGGGGAATTTGCGGCAGACGTAAAGTGAAGGGGATCCTGGCAGCTGCAGCAGGCGCCGCCTGTTTGGACGATCCGAGGCGAGGCCGGCGACGGCGACGGCGAGGGCACAAAGGCCGCGTCTGCCAGCCGCCCCCTCAGGGCCGTCCAGGGGTGGCGGTGGTGCGAGGTTTCGTTTCAGCGCCGCCATCGTCCGAAGACACGGCCAGGGTGACGGCGACGAGGACGGGGCCGGGAATAGCAATCGGCAGCCACCCCGCTCCGCCCCGCTCCGCCCCGCCCCACCCCGCCACAACTAATCAAACGGGGCGGGGCGGGGCGGGGCGGCCCGGCAAAGGGCGAGGGAGGGCCGGAACTGCGGGTCGGGCAAAGGGCACTCCAGAAACCTCGAATATGTACAAAGGGGCATAAAATAGCTGGGATTGTTTGGGCGCTCGGCTTTGCGGGTTGCCAGGTGGCGCGGCCAGTCCAGTCGCTTTTGGCGTTTTGGCGTTCAGGTTGTTTGCTTTCCGTTCCAGTTGGAGCAGAAGAAGTTCAACGCGCAGCACAAACAGCGGTCCGAGTCGCACAGCAAGGCGGCCGCCATGAGCCGCAAGCAGAGAAAGAAGAACAAGACGAGCACCAACGAGAAGGACCTCAAGGCGAGACATTGCATTCATTTCACTATTCCCTTGTCAGTTCGAGGGACGCTAGCCCATCCTTGGTAGCCACCTGTTGTAACTGTGTTCTGTTTTGTGTCTGCAGACTCTACAGAGGCTAGAGGAGGAGCAGTCCAAGCTCGACGCCTTCCGGGAGCAAAGTCTGCGAACGGTGAGCCTGCAATCAAGATCACGCCCGCTGGACCTGGGTCTGGGTTCTGGGTTCGAATACCAACTGGTCTTGTCTTCCCTCGGCAGGCGTTGACGCAGGAGCGGCGGCGCTACGGCTTCGTGCTGGAGCGACAGTGCTCGCTGGCCAAGCACTTCATGTCGCTGCACACGCGCGGCTCCTCGCTGTTCCAGCAGCGCCTGCCCGACTGGCAGCGGGTGGCGCGCGCCAGGGAGGCCCTGCCTGAGGAGGTGCAGAGGCTGTTCTCCTCCAAGAACGCGGTCAGTAGAAGCGTCACTCCACTTTGGTGCCTGTTCCCGGCGCAGCTCTTGACTGTTGTTTCTCTCGCCCCTCCCAGAGCATGTGGGCGGACGACGACGCGTACACGGGGCGCCGCGACGACGGCTCCATGGCGTCGGCGCTGCGCAAGACGCGCTCCATGGACGCCTCGGCGCTGGACCTGCGCTGCCTCAGCGACGCCCCGGAGGACCAGCACCGCGGTCTCGGACACGGCCTCGGCGGCCACGACCCCGGCGGCACGCTCAGCCGCGCGCGCTCCGACCTCAACCTGTCCTCGCGGGCGCACTCGCCCACCGGAGGTGAGAGCCACCACGCCACTGTATCAACTCTGTCGATTTCTGCATGGCGATTTTACTGAACGACAACTTTTTCGCGTGTCCAGAGTCCGCCAGCCCGGTGCGGCCGCAGTCGCTGGCGGTGTCCTCGGCGGGCCGAGGCTGGGGGTCGCCGCTGGCGCGCGCCCTCTACGCCTACCTCAGCAGCGGCGAGAACCAGCTCAGCTTCCTGGAGGGCGACATCCTGGCCCTGATGGGGGAGCGCAACAAGGGCTGGCAGTTCGGGGAGAACCTGCGCACGCAGACGAGCGGCTGGTTCCCGCTCGCCTACACGGAGCTGCTCCTGGACGACCCGTGAGTCCGCGCCGTGCGCCAACAGCCTACAGCGGCCTACAGTGTCGCGGTGTTTTCGGTTTTCGGTGCCAAACGAACGTCTTCCCTCTGTGCAGGAGCAACTCCCCCTCGCCGCGCCGCCACATCGAGTCGCTGGGCTCGACGCCGGCCAGCGAGTGGCGGTCGGGCCCGGGCGGGGGCGTCGGCGGGGCGCCGCCGGGGCACACCGGTAACCACTGCGAGGACGCCCCGCGGCCCCCCGTAGCGCCGCCCCCAGTAGCCCCGCCTCCTCAGCTGCAGTCCCTGCAGTCCTTGCAGTCCCTGCAGTCCCTGCAGTCCCCCCGAGGGCCCAGAGGCCACCCACAGGTAGAGTAGAGTAGATAGTAGAGAAACCAACTCCTTCCCCTTTCCCGCCTCGTCCTTGCGGACCTTGCCGCGGCCGTCCCAACATCGGCCATCCCATCCCTTCCCCGCGCTGTCCGGACGTGTCCGCCGGCTAAGCCCCGGGCCTGCCCGGCTTGTCCTGTCGCCCTGTCGGCCTGTAAGAGCTGCCCAAACACGGCGTTGTCCAGCCACTGCCGCTGCGCGCTGCGCGTGTTTGAGCGCGCAACCCTCATCCAGCGAGCTTACTGTAGTGGCTACGGTTGAACAACTAAACTCCGCCATTTTGACAACGGCTCGGGAAGTTTTTCATATTTTAGCACGCTAGTATACCGCTTCGGTTTGTGAAAATGATAAATTTTCAACGAATTGCACCTGGGCCTTACAATGTACCAATTTGCAGCTCGGCGGGCGCGCGCTGCCGTCGGGACCCCCTCCGCTGGCCCCCGCGCCGCACACCCCGCACACCCCGACTCGGAGTGCTAGTGGCGCTGGCGTGGGCGCGGGCGTGCCGCTGCCCATGACGCCCATGTCCATGCCGCTGGGGCACCTGTCCGGCGTGATGCGGCCGCCGTCCGGGCCCGCCACCGGCAACATCGGCGCCTCCCTGCACTCCTCCAACGACAGCGGCTTCAGCAACGAGCCGCCCGCCGCGCCCGAGATCGACTACTCCGACGACGAGCCCTCCAGGTGGGTCCGCCTTCCGGGGAGGTCATAGTGCCCTGCCCACTTCCATTGCGCCCTATTCGCGTTGGCACCATTAGCTTTTGTTACTCGCGGGTTCGCGACGTTGCACCTGGCGAGCGTGGTGGTGGCGGTGGTGGTGGTGTTTCCTCTGCTTTGTCTGGAGGCGGTTTTCTTCTTCTTCACATTCTTCTTATTCTTCTCCTCGCTTCTCGAATGTGAGTAACTGCTGCATCTGCGGGAAGAGTGTGCGCTGTGCCGCGTGTCGTCCGTGCCTGACGCCGACCTCCATTTTCCAGGGGCGGCCACTCCACGCCGCGAGCTAACGGCTCCGCGTCGGACTCTCCCCGCGGCTCCCCCAGGGGGTCGCCCAGGGGTTCGCCGGGCCGCGAGGAGCGCGCGCTGTCCAACGTGAAGGGCTGGCTGCTGTACAAGTCCGCGCTCGACCTGTGGGACGACGTAGAGGCCCAGAGGGACTCCCGCGGCGCCAGCCGGCCGCCGCCGCCGCCTCCGCCCCGCGTGCCGCCGCCGCCGCGGCCCTCGGGGGCGGCGCGGGACCGCAGCGCCACCGCCACGCTGCCGAGCAGCGCCAAGATGCGAGGGAGGCCCCTGGTGCCGCCGCCGGCACCGCCTCCCCCCGTCCCGGAAAGCAACGGGCACGCCGTCGTGAAGCGCACCAAGTCACTGCTCAAGTTCAGGAAGGACACGACCGGGGACGGCTCCGTGCTCACGGGCATGGCCTTGTGGAGGCACCGCTCGCTCGTGGACGTGCGCAACGAGGACGACGAGGACGACGACGTGGACGCCAACAACAAGAAGAACGCTGGGACGCCGCTCATCAAGATGAAGCTGGTCAAGATCGACATCGGCGAGGGGAAGCAACACGAGAAGCAGCAGTTGCAGCAGCGCAAATCGCAAGACGTGAACGGCCACAGCAACGGTCACTCGAATGGGCACTCGAATGGATACTCCAACGGCCACTCCAACGGCCACTCCAACGGACTCTCCAACGGACACTCCAACGGACACTCCAACGGACACTCCAATGGACACTCCAACGGCCACAGCAACGACTTCCACCACCGACGCCGCAGCGGCAACGAGGACCACGACGTCGAGTTCGTCTCGGTGGAGGAGCAGACCTACTCGACCCTGACGAAGCACGGCGCGGCCTTCTTCCAGAAGCAGGTCCTGGAGCGCACCAAGTCCTGGATGCCGAGTCGCCCCGAGGACGACGACGAGCCGCCCTACGAGGACGCGTCCGAGGCGCGCGCCGGCATCCTGGCCTCGGCCGGGCCGGCGGTCTCGTCCGGGGCGGCCATCGCGGACAAGAAGCGCGAGGTGGCGCGCATGGCGGCGGCCGAGGCCGTGAGGACGGCGGCGCTGCGCAGGCAATTCGGCAGCGGCGACCGCCTGCTGACGCTGCCCTCGCGCACCCGCCTCGCCAAGTCCATGTCGCAGGAGCTGCCGTCCTCCAACGGCCACGGCCACGCCGACCCCGCCGGCAGCATCTTCCAGTACGGCAAGACCCTGCAGAGCAGGCTCAGGGCGCCCGACCGCGGCTCTCGCTTCGACCGCCTGTCCATCACCACGGGCAACCTGTGCGGGCCCTGGTACGACATGTGGGGCGCCGACGCCTCCGTCCCGCAGCCGCAGCGCAAGGCCTAGAGCGAGGTAGCGCTGCGACTAGCTGCGACGCGCGGGGAATTCCACGCCTCTTGCGTCGTCAAGTTGCGTCCTTTCATTATCTATTTTTGAAAAGTTTTCAAGTCTCGGCTTTACTATTCGCGGCCGGGGCCTCCGGGGATCCACTGCCATAATTAGGCATTTTGTCCACCTTCCGGATAAAATTCGCAGCGCGGCCGCCGCCACCGCCTGTTGCCTCTCAGGCGTTTGTAAAAGGAGGCATTCTACGAAGTTGAGTCCGTCCATGAGAGTGCTGTTTGTACTCGGGCCTTCTTATTGACTTACTGCCCCATAGTTTCCACTCACAGCCGAGGCAGTGGAGTGAGCCGCCTGCCACTTTGGTCGGGGAATGACCGTCAGCAGCCCACGGCCCACGGCCCACACACTGTTGGCTTATGTCATTCCCTCCCTGAAGAGGAAGGATTGGCTTTTCTCATTCATAATTTCTCAATCCTATAATTTATATTGTTGCCGAATGCTGAAAAGCGTTCGTAGGTAAAGCAAAGTTCCGACGGAAACAAGAAAATTTTAGGAGAAGGAGCAATGCTTCGTTTCTGACAAGCTACTTGCTTGTGCCAGATTTGAAAAAGTGTTGAAGAGTGTTCATAATTCTAAAACCACTGACCCCTTTTCTAAGTGTTTTGTTTGGGAATTTTTTAATTTTGTTTCTTTTAAAACAAGCTGGTTTGATGCTTTGTTTTGTGACATAAGCCATACAATGTAAAATAGGGTATTTATTAGTTATACTTGAGTGTTCTGTGCTTATGTCTCAGTCAGTCCTTATAATTGATTAATTTCTGTGTATTTACTTATCCATTTTGAATGTGGTGCTGTGCCCATGGGTGTTGTAACAAAAATTATCTATTGTACAGTGTCTTTTTTGATTAAAGAAAGAATGTACCCTTCGTGAAACATTAAGCTATCCGCTGTTCATTGTTCAGATATAGTTTTGTATCCCTAAACTTGTTTATTGTATTATTTTGTTACTTGTTTCTTAATTAAAATTAAAGTGGCATCTTTTGCTAAGTGCTGATCTACCTACATTTTTTCCATATCCCAGTCAACCAACAGTTTATAACTTTATCATACATATGTTCCATAATCAGTTTATTTTCTGTTGCAGGGGGAACATATTCTCAACAGTCAAGCTCCGTAAAACGAAGACAAACGACCGTTCTGCACCTTTGGTCATTTAGTTCTTAAACATGAAGGGAAGTGTAGTATAAAACGATTTTCAATGTTTTAAATTTTCATCAATACCAGCATGCAAATTTGATTATGACAGTTTGTTAAAAGAGATATAGATATCCTGTTATCCTGGTTACTTTCATTGTTGCTCTGCTCTTTGTAAGTTCTATTTCATGTTTCTAGTGGCCTTTGTACAGTTAAGGAAAAATAAATTTATCACAATGTCCTGTACAGCTAAAACAGAAAACCAACTTCTTAATGATCTGTTTGAATAATGTATGACCTTAAGGTATTAATAAAAATGATAGAGCAAGTTGAAAGGAGAATTTGATATCATTTAAACACATATAACATTACAATATTACTTTATTATATACAACATAACAATAGAGATATTTTTCTCTATGATAATCATCATCACAGAGTGTAGAACCTTATTGGAAATCAAACAAGAACACAATGCAGATTGGTGAACAACTAAAAGGAGGAGGAAATATTTGAGTTCACAAACAAGATACGATTATCCTCTGCGGCAAATGGGCAAAAGGAGGCCTTAAACATACTACAACAGATCAAAAGCTGTTTACTCTGGCAAAAATTTAACTAAGAAAACAGTATGAAAAATAAACCCCAATTAAAAGAAAACAGACTGTTTGGGTGTAAGAAACGTGTACACATTCTGAATAGTTTTGAAGTCATTCATTAAATACATGATCACAGCTCAAACTCAGATTTTCTACACTACTACAAAAAATATCATTAGTACGTACCATATTATCATATGACTAGGCTCTAAAGGAATGATAATTATATCATGGAGAGTATTTTCCATATAGTCTTGCCAAAACAACCAGCATTCTATGAGCTGACTAGAAGAGCACGATAAAACTGGTTTTCACAATAAAAATATATAAACTTATACAAATACTCAATGAAAATACAAATGGAGACCATTTAAAAAACGGCAAGCAATAGCTCCTAGTATTTCATAGTATAACAAGATTGAAAAAGGCATTTTTGGTCAAATAAAAGTAAAGGAATGTGCAGCCTTTCAACATTTTTAAGCACCTCAAATAGCACAGTAACAAAACAAAATAAAGTCTCAATATGAAAATAGACAATGAATCCCTTTGAATACTATCTAACATCTGTCCCCATAAAATATTTATATTGAATAAAAATAATCACAAAATATCTCATTTTACAGAGGCAAAATTATGAGCAAAAGTGGTAGTGCACTTTCATCAGATCAAAAATCAAATAGGTACACAAACACAACAGAATCACTGAAATAAAACAAACAAAAGTGAACACAAGCAGCAAAAATCCCACATTGTTCCAAATGATTGTAGTCACAGAAACAATCAATCATTTTCAAACGCCTTTAAGGGGTCATCAAACACATTCACATTTCCTTTCTTGACTTTTGATGAAGCCTGTGACTGAGTGCTTGTTCCTGGCATATTCTCCAACTCTGTGAATAAATATTTTAGAAGAAATTAGTTTTGAATTCGGGTAAATTTCAACTTTCATTAATACAACAGACATACAGGAAAATTATACTTACTACTTGGATTGGGAGTCTTAAAAGATTTGGGCTGTTTTGATCCAAACAAGTCATCATCATCATCATCAAATAAGGATGACTTAGAGTTTTTTTCTTTAACCTTGCTCTTCAACAATGGAGGTGGTTTGGAAAAGAGGTCATCATCATCATCATTTTCATCACTGAACAAACCATTGTTTGCTTTAGGCTTAGATGATTTGATAGTCTTGGTAATCTTTTCTGACACAAAAGGCTCTGGTGATGCACTATTTTTGCCTTTGCTAGTAGCAACAGCATTTTGAGAAGGATTAAGAGGGCCCGACTTTGAACTGGATTGAAAAAGATCATCATCATCTTCGTCTGAAAAGTTCCAAGTTTTCACTTCCTTGTTTTGTAAAACAGGAGGTTTCTTGATTGGGATTTGAGATTTATGATTTGTGGAGGAAAATAGGTCATTATCTTCAATTTCATCAAGACCACGTAGATTAGGCTTTGTAGAAGAAATATCAGTTTTAGAAGGAAGAGCTGGAGTTTGGGAAAAAAGGGGCTGACTGCTTGACTGCTTGCTTTCAAGCTTCTTTTTGACAAATGGAAACAGTGCATTACTGTCATCTGCACTCTCAGATGCATCATCACTTCCAAACAGATTACTCTCTTCATCCATTGTAGTCTGTTCTTGTTTATTCAGTGGGTCTAGAGCAGGTGCAGCACTTTCATCTTTACTAGGAACTGATTTTGGAGAATCATTGAGAGACGTTTTTGGATGTTGGGATGGAACTGAGGATGGATCAGGCACAGTCTTCTGTGATGAATGGTCTTCTGTTGATGAAGTCTTTTCATTTTCAACAGCCATAGGAGCTGTATTAGCCACAGAAGATGTGTTCACCACCGGAGTTGTATCAACATCAAGGGTTGAGTCAGTCACAGGAGCTGTGTCAACGACAGGGCTTGCCTCGACCACAGGAGCTGTATCAATTACAGGAACTGCATTGACCAGAGGGGATGAATCAACCACATCAGTTGACTTAACCACATGGGCTGAGTTTACCACAGTACTAGAGTTTAACACAGGGGTTTTGCTGACCACAGGAGCTGTCTCTAGCACAGGATCAAACAATTTATCACTGAGGGAATCATCATCAATATCATCAGGAGGTAAGAACAGTGACGCATTCTTCTGGAGGGAGTCCTGAAATTCTTTGATCTGATCTGTGAAATTGCTCCTTTCAGGCTTAGTGTCATTGTTGACTGGAGGCACTGGGGATAGTATGGTAGGACTACTAAATATATCTGCCGATGTTGAACTTGGGTCTTCATACTCAGCAGGCAGGTCTTGGGGAACTCCAAATAAGTCATCCTCATCAGTTGAAGGGGACAATACACTGTTGTTTGAGTTACCATTTGAATTCACCCCTCCAATGGAATCTGTCCATATTGAAGATGCATCCGGTGACAAGGGACTATCCCTGTCAGATTGCTCCAAATTCTGACTGGCTCTAGCAGCCTCCCTTCGAGCCTTGTTGCTAGGTGGACGTCTTTTAACTCCAAGCTTGGCTCGGTCCTGTAATAGATCAAATAATTAAATGGCATACAGTAATAATAATTTTAAAAAGCTGAAACTAAAATTTCAACCTTGTTAACGGATGTCAAAGTGGCACTGATTGGTGCCTGCTGGTCAAACCCAACACCAGATTCTGCAGACCGCGCTGGCGGCTCTTTTGATTCTGATATAGATGGTGCAGTAGGTCCTGGTTCAGGTGTTTGTTCTTTTGGTGGAGTTCGCCTCGGTGGAGGCTTTTGACCAGGTAGTAAAGCACGAGGATCAATTTTCAAACCAGGCTGCCCATTCCCTCCAGCTAAAATAAAAATATGTGATAAACTAAGTTATATTGTAAAGTTCAAGCTTGAAACATTGGTCATACCAAAGGACATACCTAAAAGAGTATTTCTTAGTTTCGAAACACTAACGACAGCGCCATCAGCCACATCTAACGTCTTCGGTTCATCCTGAGGAATATCCACTTTTTTGGCAGGTGTTGTATCTGATATAACAGCTGTTGAAGGCTTGACAGCTGTGAGAGGCTTAACAGCTGCTTTAGGTGTTGCACTCTCTTTAGGCAACAGAGCAGGTTTCTGGGATTCCTTTTTCGAAGATGAACTAAATAAGTCATCGTCTTCATCATTGCTATCATCAAATAAGCCAAGACCTGGATCTGTTTCCTTTCTAATGTTGAGAGTTCTTGGAGGTTCTGGCTTCCTGTGCTGAGATGGAGCATTTATTTGAGGTGATGATTCATTTTTTATACTTAAGGACTTTTCACTGTTTCTCTCTACATTTGATACTTGTTCCTCGTCAATGGGCAATTGATTCTCTTCACCTATTTTTTTGATTTGCTCCCCTATTGATGCCTTGGGAGGGCTAGTTTCAATGGGAGAAGTGTCATGTACCTTATTAGGTTTTGAAGTTGAGGCACTTGATGGAACATTGTTAATATTATGAACTGAGATATCACTGAATAAGTCACTTTCAACATCATCACCGTCTACTGCATCAAATAATTTGGTTTTCGGCAAAGTGGGTTCGGAATTCACAAAATTCTCTTTTTCACAATTGTCTCGTACAAATGAATCATCCTGGAATATAGGCTTTAGTTCTGGTTTCAATAAATCTTTATGTTCAGAATTCAAGACACTGGAATTCTGAAGCGATGAATTATTATCAATTGCAGGAGAGGACTCTTCTTTGAATAAACTAGTATCAGGTAGTTTTCTGTTGTCTCCAAGGGGTTTGGACTCAGCTGGGCTCTTGGACAAACCGAATATATCAACATCAGGATCATTGCGAGTACTTCCAAAGAGAGCATCATCGTCGTCAAATAGCCCTTTCTTTGTGAGAGATTTCTTCTCAATAGAGGAAGCTGCAGCTGCTGACAATATATCTGTAGAGGCCTGGGAACGCCTTGACCCAGCTGAGCTGGCAGAAGAAAATAAAAGCTCATCTTCACCGGAGTCTGAATCATCAAATAAGGAGACAGGCTTTTTGATTTTGTTCTCTGATTTCAAAGGTGGTGGCACTGTACTATATATATCATGGGTAAAACTTTTTCCTGGGGCAGGTTTTGGGGCTACGATTGTTTGAGGGGGTTTGGAAGAAATCTGCTTAACACTTTCTGCATCCTCATTGGAATTCACTGGCTTTGTTTCTTCCTCTTTCAATAGACTATCATTAACTTGCTTTTTGATGTGATCCGGTATTTCTTTTGTCTCTGTCCGTTTAGGTGCTGGGCTCACAGCAAACAGATCATCTTCCTCATCATCCACATCAGCAAAAAGTCCTCCAGAAATAGGTTGAGAGTATGGAGGGGAGAATGTCAAAGGCTTGCTACCAAATATATCATCTATGTCATCGTTACTTGCACTTGGCACACTTGAAATTGAACTCGGCTCTTTCTTGATTTTAATAATTTCATTTTTGGGTAAACTGGTAGAATTGAAGACAGGCGATGACATTCCTTGACTTGGAGCTTGACTGTAATAATAATAAATAAAAGAAATAAATTAAAAATAAACAACATGTGCCAACTTTACAGACCCTTGGAGTTTCATCAGTTTTACCTTTTCTGAGAGCTGCTAGCACTACCGTTCCATCCTTGATCATAGTTGTTCACTTCATCAGATGTGTGATCTACAGATGGAATCGAGCTGTTTTCAGCCGGATCACTACTTGACGATTCTGAAGATGACGAAGATTGTCGGCGTGGTAACTTTGCTTTTAGCCCTTCCAATACATTTGCCTTTCCAAACATTGGAACCGCTCCAGCCAATTTCTGTCAAAGCAAATACAGGGAATTTTTTTTACAATGAAGGGGGAAAGAGACTTGTGATTGAATACCGAAAAGCTTACTTTATCAGGAGTTTCCCTTTGAACAGTTGGGACTGTGGGAGATTGTGCATTGTCTTCAACAACATGAGAACTTGTCCTCTCTAAATCACCTGGAAACAATTTCAATTTGTTTAAAAGAAACTGTTGCTACCTATTATTGTCCCAAGTATGATAAGACTTACCTTTAATATTGCTTATTGATCTCGGTTTTGTTTCACTACTATTGTCTAATCCTTTGTTAGGTGTACTTGTGACTATCCCTGGTCTGATTTGTTTGGAAATGAAAGATATTGTTAGGACAAAAGTCACCTCACAAATATTACACTATTCTACAATACATATGACATGTATGATTACTGATAACTGACCTCTGTGGTTTGGGTTTCTGAAGAATTGGGCTTGGTTTTGGGAGGTCTATTTTTCCAGATTTGGCAAAAGAGAAAAGGCTATCCTCCTCATCGGACCCATTACTTGAAAACAGGTTGTCGGATTTAGGTGGCAGTTTGCTGGGCTGCTCAACATTTTCAGTTTCAAGAGTTGCCTTCTTAGCTGCAACAAAATCTTGATAGAATAGGAAGGAATAAATAAAGATACGTAGGGTAAGTCAAAATTTTCAGAGTTAAAATAATTTACCAGTAACTTCATCTGGCCCCCAAAGGGAGTTGTTAGTATTCTCTAAATCATCAAAGAGTCTCGGTCGGCCAGAGAAAAGGCCAGAGTTTCCAGAGAACAGGCCATCATCCTCATTTTCAGAGAGAGCTCCACCAAATAGATTATCTGAAATGGTACAAAGATTAAAATTTGATAGACACTATAAGATCAAAGACAAAGCTATAATATTACCAGAAGTAGTTTTCTCTGGGGTAAAGTTAGAGCTGGTAGCAGGATGGGCTATTTTATCAAGTTTTGCAGCTAATTGGGAAGCAAACAAATTATCCTGGCCATGCTTTTGAACTGATGATGGCTGTAATGAATGAGGATAAAATTTTAGGGAATGTTTAAACATGGTTCAGTTAAAGTTCAATCGATCAATGGTGACTTACTTCTGGAACATCTGTACTTGGATTACCTGCACCTTGCACAGAGTCAGTAGGTTCAATTTTTCGGGAAATTTTCTCAGGTCCCGTGGACACAGAGCTTCTTGATGAGTACATATCCTTCAAATAGAACAAAATTATAAGGTTAAATGTATGAACCAAATTATAAGAGAGGCGAAGACAACGGTGGATGCAGTTACTCACTATTTTCCTTTTGTTGGAACCAATGGGAGTGAAGTCATTGTCAGAATCAGATGTAACATCCATGTCATAGTCTACACCAGTTTTAAGGGACTGTTCTTCCTCATCACTGGGAGAATCAGCCAGACCAATATGGTCGTCAGACATGAATGCCTCTGATCCAATAAGATGTGGTAATGGACGATGAATATATGGATTATGAGGTTCTAGAATAAGTGTTTTGGTTCTGCATGGAGAGAAAACAAAGGAGTCATTAGGATGAAATTGGACCGAAGTTGTTCATTTAATCTGTACCTAGATTTTGGTCAATGCTCACCCTTGTTGCTCAGTTTCTATTTCACCCTCTGAATCACTAGCTTGAATTTCCACAGGTTCAAACATGGTATCAAGGACAGCTACACTGAGGGACAAGGCTTCCCGAACTTTTTGAAGCATCCTAGCTTCTGTTTCCTCCTTAGACTGAAAATTGTAAAACGGATTATAATTATGCCTAAAATGTTATAACTAATATCAAAACTTCAATCAAGTGAATAGATATAATACCTGTGTTTTAGGAACAGATTCATCCTGTGGAGTTTCTTTGTCATCATCATCATATACACGATTCTCAACAAATTGAGTGTTTGCGAGACACAAGAATTTGTTGTTTGTGGTGTTTACATCAGATGTCAATGTGCTTGTTTCTTCAACAAGGGTATCCAAAGCCTTTTCTGTAGTATGAGTGCGAGCTAGAACTGTCTATACAACAATTCAAAACATTATTAAAAGAATTCTGTATGAAATTACAGTGAGGATGAAAGCAAGGCCATCATTTCATGTTACCTGTGAAAATTCCTGCAAATGCTTCAGAAGTCCGGTATCACCAGCTAAATTCCAGGCATGAGCATTTTGACGCATTTCGTCTGTTGACCATGACCGCTCCCATGGTTTGGCTTCAGTAGATCCAGCAGGATCTCCAGCACTCCCATTCATTGCTTGGAAAAATTTCTAAATGGAAACATAAAAGAAAGAATAAGCAAAAACGTCCTTGAGGTAGAAATAAGGATTTTGAATGTACACAAATAAGGACAGATTTTGTAGTACAGTGTCAAATAATGTAAAAAAAAAAGGAACACAACAAGGATGAGCGGGAAACATGGAGAAAGAGTTAGTGAAGAAATATGAATAAAACTTAAGTACTACTGACAGATATAAATATCATTACATAACCCTTTTTAAGCAAAGGGTTTAAAACACTCACACTAAACACTTCGTTTGGGGGTTACAACCAATAGCAATCCAGAAAAAAGACACGTCACTTGATGGAAATAAATGGAAGGTAGATTTCAGGACCAAATTGTTGGGGTCAAATGTTGTTCACACCTCCCTTGACACATTCGTGTTAGGGAGTGCAATCGCAATGGCAATGAGATGAATGTTTTGCCTTCTTCTCATCGTTTGCTGGTCTCGACCCTGCGACGAGACTAGGCTGTGTAATATGAAAAGACCGATATTATATACACGCCGCGTGTCCCCAATGCCGCTTTTTGTTATTGAGACGCGGCGTGTACATAATAATTACGCGGGTAAGGGACACGCCGCGTAGCTCTAACTGAAAAAAAAATTATTGACACGCCGGAAAAGCGTTCTGACCCGATCGGACCGGCTTTTCCGGGTTTTTTTCCGGCGTATCAATAATAATTTGTAGCTTTATGTTGACGCGGCGTGTCCCTAATGGTGTAGTTTCTTATTGACACGCTTCAAACTCGTTTGGGCGTGCCTTTAATATTTTTCCAAGTTAGGTGCACGCGGCGTATCTCCAACGCTGTGTTTGCTTATTTAAACACCGAATGGAAAAATGTGTTTCTAGCGAGGAACCCGTCCCGCCAGGCTGGCATGGTGGGTGGGTGGTACCGCACCCGCATGCTAAGTTTTTGTCCCCGGTTCGAATCCCGTCAAATGCGGCGTGCAAATAATGTTTTCCCCCTTTGTTTGCACGCCGTGTGCGAATAATAAATCCAGCAGTTAAAGACACGCGGCGTGAACGCAACGGTACAATTTCTTATAGAGACGCCTCAAACTCTTTCTGGCGTGTACATAATACTTTTAGCCCCAATTTCCACGCGGCGTGTCTATAAGGCACCAAATCGTTGTTTACACGCTTGGTCAGTACAAAGTGCTCCAAACTTGCAACCCGACCGGCCAGGAAGGCGTCGTGGGCCGGTGGCACCGCACCTACATGCTAAGTTTTTGTCCCCGGTTCGAATCCCGTCAAATGCGGCGTGCAAATAATGTTTTCTCCCTTTGTTTGCACGCCGTGTGAGAATAATAAATTTAGCAGTTAGAAACACGCGGCGTGGACGCAACATAAGGTTTTCTTATTTACACGCTTCGAAACACGCGCTAAGTCCTCAAGGGGAGGGTGCCTACCACCTAAGTGTTTCCTCGTGGATGACACCGTCGTGGTCCTAACAGACACCAGCCATCCCAGAGCTCTGTTCGCCGTGCTTGAGGACTTAGCGCGTGTTTCGAAGCGTGTAAATAAGAAAACGTTATGTTGCGTCCACGCCGCGTGTTTCTAACTGCTAAATTTATTATTCTCACACGGCGTGCAAACAAAGGGAGAAAACATTATTTGCACGCCGCATTTGACGGGATTCGAACCGGGGACAAAAACTTAGCATGTAGGTGCGGTGCCACCGGCCCACGACGCCTTCCTGGCCGGTCGGGTTGCAAGTTTGGAGCACTTTGTACTGACCAAGCGTGTAAACAACGATTTGGTGCCTTATAGACACGCCGCGTGGAAATTGGGGCTAAAAGTATTATGTACACGCCAGAAAGAGTTTGAGGCGTCTCTATAAGAAATTGTACCGTTGCGTTCACGCCGCGTGTCTTTAACTGCTGGATTTATTATTCGCACACGGCGTGCAAACAAAGGGGGAAAATATTATTTGCACGCCGCATTTGACGGGATTCGAACCGGGGACAAAAACTTAGCAGGCGGGTGCGGTACCACACACCCACCATGCCAGCCTGGCGGGACGGGTTCCTCGCTAGAAACACATTTTTCCATTCGGTGTTTAAATAAGCAAACACAGCGTTGGAGATACGCCGCGTGCACCTAACTTGGAAAAATATTAAAGGCACGCCCAAACGAGTTTGAAGCGTGTCAATAAGAAAATACACCATTAGGGACACGCCGCGTCAACATAAAGCTACAAATTATTATTGATACGCCGGAAAAGCTTTTCCGGCGTGCTAATAAGAAAACTAGACATTGCAGACACGCCGCGTGAAAATAACGCCATTTATTATTATATACACACCAGCGGTTTTCCGGTGTGCATATAACTGTCTTTTTTCTTATAGAAACGCGGCGTGTCTATAATCACTCCGATATGAAAAACTTATTTCCCGGACCAAGCCAGACTCCAGACCACCGAGCCCCCAAAGCAAACAAAAACAGAACAACAGCTCGCTAGATCGCCTGCTTAACCCACAAAATCGTTGAGGACAGGTGAGACAGCAGTTGTCTGCGATTGCGCGGAGTCGGAAACGCCGGCAAGACCTCGGAGGCTCTCGCTGAATGCGTCAGATTTCCTTTTGGGCGCTTGCTTTGCGAAACCGAGACTTAAAGTCTATCATCGAAGCCGCGGCCATGAGGGGAAGAAGGGCAGTCCGAAACGACAAGTCTCAGGAGGAGGGCTCAGCAGCCTCAGCAGCCTCGATGCCAGGTGATCCAAAGACCGGTGAAAATGAACAAGCCTGTCCGCCCACCAGAAAGACACGAAGAAATGCCAACAAGGCTGACATGTCAAATGAAGTTTCAAATTTGCCTGTTGACGAGGAGACCTCTGTTGGAGAAGATCCACCTAACATTGGTCTCTCCGCTCGTTTTAGAAAAATGGAAAAGAAGAAAATTATCCATGGAACGGATACTTATGCTGGTGATGCAGGAGAAGGGCCTGGAGCTCATGACGAGAAGTCGAAACAAAATATTAAAAAGTCCCCCAAGAAGAGAGCGGTCACCATTGAATATGAAACCAATGCCAAGAAAGATAAGTGGGAACCAGACAACTGGATGCAGGTATTAAAAAATATCAGGGAAATGCGGAAGAGTGCAGATGCTCCTGTGGACACTATGGGATGTGATAAGTGCATGGACGAAGAAGCTAAACCAGAGGTGAAAACATTTTGGCTTAATCGACATTTGTTTTATCTTATTCCATTTTAATTCAACCCTGATTTTGTTGTAATTTCCTCCCTTCAGGTTCTGCGTTACCAAACATTGCTCTCTCTCATGCTATCCAGTCAAACTAAAGATGCAGTGACTCATGCTGCTATGAAGCGCCTTCGGGATCATGGTTGCACAATTGAGAACATATTGAAGACAGAGGACAAGGTGCTCGAAGACTTAATTCACCCAGTGGGATTTAAAAAGGTATGATTTCTATTTTTCTCTCTGTCTGTTTAATCCGATTTATTTCATTTCATTCAAGTCTTTCTTTGAGCAGACCAAAGTGCAATACATCAAGAGGACTTCAGTCATTTTGCGCGATAAGTACATGGGTGATATTCCAGATACGGTGGAAAAACTGTGTGAATTGCCCGGTGTGGGACCCAAAATGGCTCATTTGTGCATGAATTGTGCCTGGGGAGTTGTCACAGGAATTGGTATGTGAACTATACGATCTCATACCGCCCACTGTTTCATAATTTATTTTAAATTTGAGGTAGCATTGTCTAATTTGAATTTCTGTTGCTCTACAGGTGTAGACACCCATGTCCATCGAATTTCAAATCGAATTGGTTGGGTTCCTCGTCAAACAAAGAATCCCGAAGAAACACGTAAGGCTTTGGAGGATTGGCTGCCATCTGACTTATGGAGTGAAGTCAATCATTTGTTAGTTGGATTTGGACAGCAAATTTGTCGTCCTGTGGGTCCGCATTGTGACTCATGCCTAAATGCTCAGCTCTGCCCTTACACTCGTTCACCAAACAAGAGCCCTCGCAAGAGCCCTAGTAAAAAATGAAAAAAACTAGGTTGTTAATTTCTATTTTTAAGAACATTTTCTTGTACTTCTTCAGTATTATTTCATTTACAGTTTTTAAATATGCGAGTCTCCAGCTATTTAAAACAATTAAGTATCATGTCAAAATACTGTTTCATTTTTTAAATAAAGCATGCAGCTGTGAAAAAAAATTGTTTGGTTGTACTATAGATTGATTTATTGAAGTATCATTAGCGCTTTCCTTCTGTATGTGGTTTCATGCACAAAGAGACAAATAGACAGCAACAGAAACAGATTCGGTTCCCCCATGCTCACAGACGGGGAGGGGAGGGCAGTCTATGGCACGAATGCTATCAATGGGCCGGCCGGAGAAAACTCTATACTCCAAGCAGACTGATACATCGGGATACATCTCCACACGTTGGGCTGGGCGTGGCATGCGTTGTCAAGCCCTGCGCCGTTCGGAGTTTCGGAGGATCGGTGGTCCATACGTCGTTCAGAGAGCCGGAGCCGATCCAGGTGGGCACAAACCCCCTCTCGTCGTCTCTGTGCTGCCGTGGTTCGGGTTGGCTCTGCTCGGCGCGGACCGGTTGTTTGCCCGCCCGACTTGAAAGTCGTCGACTCTGCCGCTCCGACTGGCTCGGCTCCGTTCGGCTCGTCTCGGCTCCGCTCCTCGGCCTCGCTCGGCTCCGTCCGGCTCGGTTCGGCTCCGACTTGGAGTTTTCTTCGGAGCTCGAGTAGAGTCAGTGTGCGACAGCCTTCCCGAAGAACACCCCGTCGCCGCGCGTCGCGTCCGCACCTGTTGCCTGACATTTGCACCATTTTGGGCGGTTTGGGCAGGGTTTCGCGTCCCAAAAGCGTCGGTTGGGACCCCCAAGAGATGGGCGGGAGCCCAGTGACGTGAACAGTTCTTAAGCGAAAGAAACAAGTGATTGATGCCGGCGAATTCTCACAATTCATTCGTGGACGGAGCCTGAATCAAAAACTGTTTTTAAAAAGTGCTTTACCTCAACTCCAAACAGGATTACTGGAGTTTAGGACGTGTGCCTGAAGTGTGTTTCAACAGTGCAGCTGGGATTCCTGCACGGTGTGCTTAACGCACCATCGAACTGCCGCTGGATTTTTAGTAGGCTTGTTTGCAGTGTTTCCATCAAGGTGAGCCGAGATGAATGCTGTAGGTAGACCGTAGCGTAAGCCCAAGCCTCCCAAGCCCACGGGCCGCTAGGGGACGAGGACGAGAAGAAGAGCCGACCCCGCGCGGCCCGGCGGCAGACCCAAGCCCAAACAGCCAGGCAGGCTCCCGGCTCCACTCAGGTTGCACTACATTGTCTTCCAGGAAGATCCCCTTATTAGCCGAAGGTGGCAGGTGTCATTGACGGTGTCGAGAGTGACTGTCCCTCCATAGTCTGGACTGCCGGCTGATTCCGCCAGCCGCTGTCTCTCTCGCACTTATGAGGCGTGCCGTCCAGGTGCGAGAGAGACAGAGCCTTGACATGACAGCTGGGTCGGCATTGCTGCCGGTGTGAGACATTGTGGTGAGGCAGGCTTTGTGTGCAAGGTGTGCCCCCCCCCTCCTGCTAGGCACTGCTAGGCCCAGGCTGCGTGATAAAACCGCCTCCCAAGGTCAATAGACCGGGCCGGCCGCCGAGCCCGATGTAGCCCGGTGGACTGGAGAAGCTGGAGAATTCGGGCGGCACCTGTCGTTGGCTGTCGTTGGCTGGCGGTTCCAGGCGGCCCGGTCTCCTCCAGGGCCCAGGCCCAGGACTCCAGGCCGCGGGCCAGCCGTTTCGTGTCATCCCGCTCGTGGCGGTGCACTGGTGGCGGCTCGGAATCTCGATGCATCCTGACGGACGGACGCCAGGACGACGCCGGAACAGGACGACGACGCCGGACGACGCTAGACGCTAGACGAATCCTAAGCAAGCAGTGGACACGGCAGCACGGCAGCCGTGTGGCAAGGCACGGCAAGGCAGCCAAGGCACTGCAAGGCAGCCAAGGCACTGCAAGGCGGGGCGGCTTTAGGTATCAAGAAAGGATCATCGCAGCGCGTCGCTACGCGTCGCCGACCGTTCGGTTCGCCGACAAGCCGTGCGCCGAGGATGGGCAGTAGCGCTGGCATGGCGCCGCGCCGGCCGCGCTCACGTCAGCCTGTGGGAAAGAAGCTATTTGCTACGCCGAAAAAAAGGAGGAACATAAATAGACCGGCCGAGAGTTGAACCCACACGCCTGCCTCGCAGTGAGAACTGACCACTGGAACCCGGGTCCTCAGGGTGACAGTCACCAAAATTAAACACCGCTGACCTGTGGGGATTCGAACCCGTGACCCTCGGTGCGGGTGACAGCTGCGGATGCGGCGCGCCGCACGCGGCGGTGACGATCTGCCATCCGGGACAGAACACAGAACGTCAGGCCTGCAGGCCGACCGCACCTCGAGTATTAGACGAAGGGAAAGGAGCCCCTCAATGCGATGAGCCGCGAGTCGCAGTCGCAAGTGAAAGCTGGCGCGGCGCGGTGCGGCGCGGCGCGGTTGGTGCCACACCGGTGCCACACCGGCGGGGCCCGGACCGCCAGCACCGCCAGGACGCCGTCAATGTCACCCGAGGCCGTTTATCGCTTCCTCCGATTGGCCACGCGGCAGCCCTTGCGGCAGCCTGGCCGGTTGGGCGCGCGCCGCGCGGTCCGCGCTCCCCGCCGCCATCGAGGCCCCCGCGTTCCAGGGCGGCCGCTCGTACCGCCAGCACCGCCACGACGGCGTCCTCGCGGTGGATGTTCCCAAGCCGCGGGGTCGCTGACTCACTGCTGGTGTCCGGCGTGTCCAGCGGTGTGTTTTGGTGTCCGGCACGGCCGCGCGGAGCCGCGGAGCCCCTCGCCGGCTGGACGTGCGTGCCGCTGCGTGCTGCGAGCCTGCTGCTGCGCGGCTGTGTGCGTGCGTGTGTGTGCGTGAGTGTGGTTGCTGCTTCCCACGTGACCTGGGCCGTCCCGGCTTCGGCCGCTTCGGCCGGCTTCTCCTGCGGGTGCGTGAGAATTCCGTCCCCCTTCCTTCCCCTCCTCCCGAAATGCGAGTAGAGCGATGAGCTGAGACTCATCATGCCGGCCGGCTGCGATTCCGAGTGTACCGTCTGTCTCTCTCGCACTCGCGGCGCGTCCCGTGTGGGTGCGAGAGAGACAGACCGCAGCGAGCGTCGCGCCGTTTCCGCCCCTCCGCAAAACGAAGCGTATTATTAATCTTGATAACGGCAACGGGATTTTCTCGCAAAAAGCCGCGATCGAAACGCGAGGTACTCTGTTTCTCTGTCCACGGGGAAAATGAAGTTGCACGCGTGCATGCGTGTAGGTACGTAGGTAGGGGGACGCGGTGTTGCGGAGGCAGGTGGGCGGTGGCGGTGCGGCTGGTCTGGTCGGACGAGTCAGGCAGGCGGTGAGGCTAGGCGGTCGGGGAATTGCGTGGCTTCCAGGAGACAATGCAGCGTGTGGGCCTGGTGGCCCTTATGCCTCGTGCAGTTGCAGCAGTTGCCGTGCCAACGGCATTAGGCCAACGCAGGTCAAGGAGAGGGCGGATCCTCCTCTGCGCAGTGACCCACACAGGCTGATAGTCCGACCGGAGTTCATACTTGACTTTTTATTTTTTTCTGTTTTGGTTTGAGCCTGGGGTTGAACGTGACGGGGCAGTATGAGAATGCGCTGAGTACTGCTGCCCGCGCGACAACCCGCGGCCCAGCGTTCCTCCGGGACTCACTCCGGCCGGGGTCGCCGCGTCGCCGCCGTGGGCCGTGGGCCGTGGGCTGGGTGCGCCCGGAGCCCCGGACCGGAGGCCCGGACTGGAGGCCGGGGCCCCGGCAGCGCCACGCGGCATTCCAATCACCGGAGGCGCGGCGCGGCACGGCGCGGCAAAGCGGTAGTGAATCCAAGAATGTTGTCCGTAGCGTGACCCCGGCCCATGCCGGCCCGGGCCGCGGCCCGCTGCTCGCCGTCATGGCCAAGCAGTGGCTCGGTCAAGAGGGTGGCCGTTCTCCAGTGTTTGCGCTTCAGGCCGCTGGAAGCACACTGGAAGCGCCGCCTGTCTCCATGCTGCTCTATGCTTTCCCACCTTTCCCACGCGGGCCGAAGTGGCTCTGACGGCTGAGACACGTCGCCGGCCGCGTCCCTCGCCCCGCCCCGCCCCCCCCGCCCCGCCCCGCCCCTTGCAGGGAGCCTCGCGGCCGCTCGCGGCGCTCTTATGGCAGCCGGCCGTAAGAGTGCGCGTCTCACGGCGGGACGACGATAGCCGTATGATTGATGCGTCGTGGACGTGTTCGCGAGAGAGTGCTCGCTGCGCGTCGCTGCGAGAGTGTGCGCGCGGGAGAAGGAGTGTGTGAGACTGTCGCCGCAACCCTTCGGGCCCTTCGGCTCTAAGCGTACTGGTACAGCCACGCCGTGTCGTCGCGGTGGCCCGATCTGATGTCACTCCGCCCTGCCGCCCTATGCAGTGTAGCAGGGCAGGCTTGGCTCCGGGGAGTGTGTACTGCAACTGCAGCACTGCAGCCCGCAGTCGCTCGCCTTGACCCAGCCTGGCGTAGCCTGGCCGCGTTCCAGGCGTTTCATGCACCCCTGCCAATCTCCTTGCATCAACACGCATTTCAAACCGACCTCTTTTTGACATACCTCATAAAAATTTGATCTAAAATTAATTGTACTCTAAGACATGATGGGATTCGATCCGCCGACCCTGTCATCGGGAATCCGACCCGTTCACAACGTGGACCACCACGGCACACCGCGACAAAACCGTTTCTGGGGAGGCAGTAAAAATTTAACGTAATTAAATGTTGGGAGTTGAACCTCGGACTTGAGGGTCTGGAACCTGCCCAGTCGGCTAACACAGCTGACAAGCAATCCCGGCTCACGTGGGTCTAGTTTTGGTCGGGTTAATGTTGGTAGGGCCAATAATCTGCTCCCTTCGATTCGCTTCGATATCTCGCCGATGTCTTCTCGAGCAGTGGGCCGCGTTGCCGCGTTAGGAAAGACTTAATTCTTCGGGGCCTTGCTGCTAATCGTAGGCATTGTTCTTTCGGCTCGCCAGCCCCGCCAGCCCCGCCTTGCGCAAAGGGGCGCTGGCAATTGTTTAATTATCGCGGCGAGGTGCCGCTGTCTCTCTCGCACCCCCACGGCACGCCCACGAGTGCGAGAGAGACAGCGCGGCGGGATTGGGATCGCAGCCCTTTTCTTTTCCCGCGCTTTCCTATTGACACCCCGACCGTCGTCGCGCCTCGCGCTTTGCGGCGCTGCCCCGCCGGAGTGGCTGGAGTGCTGGAGCCGAGCGGGTGGTGGACGCATTCCAGCGGCTCCAGCGGCCCAACGCCTAGCCACGCCTAGCCACGCCCGACCGTGTCAGATCGACGTCGTATATCGGCGCGCGGAAAATCGCCTGGCAAATACTCCGAGTTATGAAACGTACTCGCGGCGGCGCGGCGTTGCGCTTTTTGTCCCGTTGCCATGTGGCGGACGACGCGGCGCGGCTCGGCACGGCCCGGCACGGCCAGTAAAATGCATTTGGCTTGGCGTCTAACGGCCGCCAGAACGGCCGAAGGGCCGAACCAAACGGCTGCACGAGAATGCGCCAGCCTTCCCCGAAGCGCCAGAGCCAAGTGCGAACCGCGCTCTTGGAAAAGGGCTAATCCGCGCGGCAGTCAAGTGCAAGGCTGCAGCGCTGCAGCAGGGAGGTCCTCTCTCTCTCTCTCTCTCGCTCTCATGGGGCGTCCCGTCGGCCCGTATGGGTGCGAGAGAGACAGCGAAAGCTGGCTGCAGGGGCTTCCCTCCGGCACCCCCCGGTTGCACTGCGTCGCTGCGTGGCGTGGCGCGTGGACTCGCCGGTTAGCCGGGACGCCACCGGGATGAGTAGAAAGTGGACAGGGAGGCTCCACTGTGATATATCGACGAGGCCCGCCTAGCCCATGGCTAGCCCAGGGCTAGCCCAGGACTTGCCCGCGGCGCGTCTACACTGTCGGGAAAAATAAATGACCCGTGGAAGGCCGTAGCGCCTGCTGCTGCACACCGGTGGTGGCAGCCAAAAATTCGAGACGCGTTTTGAGCTCCAGAGTCGCTGAATGGGACTCGAACCGAGCGTGTGACCCCACCAATGGATTGCTCTCCGAACGAGGAATCCATTGGTGGGGTCA